TGCCGTGGGGTGATTCCCGAGCTTGCCGTTCGCTAGGACCCCCAGATCTTTCTCAGTTGTTACTCTTTCCAGCTCTGTGAGGGAGCCTTTGGCAGGTTGAGGGACACGGCACTGAATGAGTAAGCTAATGTAGGCAGATTGTCATTTCTGACTACGTTGGCACAGCCTGTCCATGAGTGCTCAATAGTCCCCCAGTCATTTACATCTGCCTTTATTTCTGTAAAGAGTATTCTGTAATTCTGTTCATAAAGTGTCTGTGGGTGTGTGTGTGTCTCTTGGCAGGTGGATTCCTAGATTCCTAGGTATTTCATTGTCTGTAGTTATTTTAAATAGAATTTCTCTTTCTGTCTTTGTTATTTAAGGCAATTGGGGTTAAGTGACTTGCCCGGGGTCACACAGCTAGTAAGTATCAAGTGTTTGTTTGCGGCCGGATTTGAACTCGGGTCCTCCAGCCTTTGGGCCGGTGCTCTCTCCACTGCGCCACCTGGCTGCCCAGTGGCCTGTTGTTCTAACTTCAAGTAAAAGACTTTATGTTTATCTCTCTTCAGTTTTGTCCTTCTTTCTCAGCCTGCCATTCTGGGCTCTTGTGACCTTGTGCGGGCCTGTGGCCTTTGAGGGGAGGTCCGTCCCTCCGCCTGGGGGCTGCCCAGCAGTCGGACAGGCATTCTATCTAATCAGACCCAGATGTTGGTATAGTCAGTGGAGGGATAGACTTGGAGTCAGTGAGGAAAGGTGCATTTATTAAGCGCTGGTGGTATACCAGGAACGATGCTGTAAGTGCTGGGGATCTGAAGAAGGCACAAACATCCCCTGCCCTCATGGAGTCGGGAGGGACCTGGGTTCAAGTCTTCCCTCAGACATTTCCTAGTTGTACGACCCTGTGAGTGTCACTTGGCTCCTTTCAGCCTCAGTTTCCTCATCTGTAAAATGGGGGTCATAACAGCCACCTGCTTCCCAGGGTTGGTGAGTGTCAAATGCACTGGTCGATCGGGCTGATTTTTTTCCTCTTTTGTCTTTAAAAACTGTTTGATGTACTAGATGGCTCCTCTGGAAGGGATGAGGGTAGGGACGCTGGGGGAAAGACATTAAGGAACACTTAGCCTTGAAAGACTGAACTTGGACCACTCGAGCCTGACCGTGAGGGCCATCCCCCACCCACTGCCCCCGCCATGGCCTCAGACAGAACATCTGGCTCTGGGAGGGTAGCGCCGGCCCGCCAGGCTGGGCCCTAGCTCGCCGGCTGTTCCGTGGTCTGTCGTGGGCACTGGGCGTGGTGGCTGCCAGCTTCAGCCAGGGGCAAACCGAGCTCCGGGCCCGGGCATGGCCCACCTGATGGGGTGCTGATCCGGGTCTCAGAATTCTCCAGAACTGCAGCGGGTGGGGCAGGGGGGCTCTCCGATAGAGGCCTGCAGGTGTTAAAGCTTTCCTTGCCCGTCTGGCCATCTCCCTGGCCGTCCTCCAGCTTTCTTTTCATGGGCCTCCTGGAATAACAGTGAGGATGATGAGGAGGATGGTGGTGATGATGGTGGTGATGGTGGTGATAATGGTGATAATGATTGTGGTGATTGCGATGATGGTGGTGATAAGTCAGGGGGCAGTCGTTAAGGTTACTCTGGTAGCACTAAGGGCCAGGGGATATAAAGAAAGGCAAAACCTTGGTATCTACATTCAAGGCCCCCCAGTCCAGGGGGCAGACGACGTGCACACAGCCAGGCCCATGTGAGGCAGGCATGGAGTGAGGGGACTTCATTTAAGGGCACAGCAGGGAGGGTCTGCTGCGGAGGAGGAGTGCCCTGGGTGTGAGGGACAGCCAGTGCAAAGGCCCTGGAGGTGGGCGGTGGGGAGGGCCGCAGTACGGGTCCGGGTGGGGGCTGTAGAGTGCTTGGAGGGCAGTGTGTACAGGGAGGGAGGCCCCGAGCTGGGAAGGGCTTTTTCAGTACAGCTGGGGCGTCTGGCCCATCCCGGTGTGGGCCAGCCCTTCAGCATAGCGCGGCTCCCCACTGCATCCAGGGTGGTCAGAGCCCCTCCCCCCAGCACACCCTGGCAGTGCCCATATCAGCAGGGCAGGGCCAGGGGAGGGATTGGGAAGGCCGAGCCAGCGGGCCAGGGCCGAGGCCTCCCACGGGGGCTCGAGGCCAACCTGGCTGCCGCTGGGGCTCCAGCCTAAGCTTTGGGGAAGAAGTGGGGGCAGGGAGAGAGTTAGGGCGGGGAGAGGTGGGGGGTGGAGAGAGTTGGGGCAGGCCGCTGATGGGGAGAGGACAGCAGAGCTCAGCTCCTGGTGACATTCTTGCCTGGCTCCTGCCCACAGGTGCTGCGGTGGTGGGGGAGACGAGAACCTTACTGCCCGTCATGCCCCATGTCCTGCAAGGCTGGCCTGGGTGTGCCCACCAGGCATTTGGAGGCCTCCCAGGACCCCCTGATGGGGGGGTCCTCTTGTCCCAACCCATAGATCTTCCCTCTGGGGTTCAGCCTGGGGACACTGGGTTCAAATCCCACCTCGGACATCTGTCAGCTGTGTGACCTTGAGTGAGTCATTTCACTTCTGCCTCCGTTTTCTCAGCTGTAAAAGGGGGATAATCTTGGCACCAGCCTGCTAGGGGGTCGTGAGGATCAGAGAAGCCAGCACATGGCTTTAGCAAGCACGTTTCTTCTTCTTCAGCAGCCCAGTGCAGGCTGAGGACTGACTCCCTCCCCTGTGGAGGGTGTGCCCCTTGTCACCCCACGGGGAGTGCCATAGAGGCAGGTGGGGATCCAAGGGCCAGAGCCGGGGCAGGATGGCTTCAGGGCCTTCTTAGGGCCCCCCAGTTCGGGAGAGACAAACCCCAAAGCCGCTAGGGAAATGCAGAAGGGCCTGGGTCTGCAGGATCCGGAGAGCCCCTGGCCCAGGCCCGGGGCCCTGCCCCACTGCCCCCTCCTCATCGCGCGGGGGTGTGCGTTGCTGCTGTCTGTGTTGGGGTCTCGGCCTTGGCGTGATGCCCCAGCCCCTGGCAGCGTGTCAGACGTTCATCCGTCAGCTTGTTGGCGTGACGTTCCTCTAATAGCTAGAAAGTTGTGGTCGTGGGCTGATCTGTCCCAGACCTGCACGTGCTCCCCTCCTGGCGTGCAGGGCCAGGGGGCAGGCTGGCAGGCGAGGCTGAGCATCACGGCCCAGGGCATCGAGCCTCCACATTAGGTGTTGTTAGAACACCCTCTGTTTGGGAGCAGGGATGGGGCTGCTCTGGGTGCCTGGTACCTAGCATCCTCCCTGGCATCTACGAGGCACTTAATGCCTCCTGCTTCATGCGACCCAGCTGCTCTGCCGCCCCCTCATTGGTGGGCACTTCTGTGCTAGAGCTCCCTTCTCCCTGCCTGGGTCAGAGGCTGGGGGGGCCAGACGGGCCTGCCCTCGGTCCACGGCTGGGACATGTCTAGGCAGGACAGGCCGCTCATGATACCAGGCTCCTCCTCCTCCTCCATCCCCGTGGCTAATGAGGCCACCACAGTCCTCCCAGCTCTCCTGGGAGGATGCTGTGGGGACTCTAGTGTCCCTGAGTCCTTTGCAAAGGAGGTTTAATTGAGCCTTTTGGAAAAACAGCAGCCTCATTTCCCAGGGACTCCTCGTAATGTGAGCCATCCCACACCTGTGGCCCACCATGTGTTAGCTGAGATGGGGAGGGGGAAAGGAGTGATGAAGGAAGGGAAGGAGGGAAGGGGGGAAAAGGAAAGGAGGGAGGGAGGAAAGAAAGAGAGGGAAGGAAGGGGAGGGATGAAGAAGGGAGGGAGGGAGGGTGGGGAAAAGGAAAGGAGGGAGGAAAGAAAGGGAAGGAGGGGGAGGGATGAAGGAAGGAGAAAGGGAGGAAGGAAGGGGAGGGAGGGAGGGTGGGGAAAAGGAAAGGAGGGAGGAAAGAAAGGGAAGGAGGGGGAGGGATGAAGGAAGGAGAAGGGAGGAAGGAAGGGGGAGGGTGGGGAAAAGGAAAGGAGGGAGGAAAGAAAGGAGGGAGGGAAGGAAGGGGAAGGATGAAGGAAGGGAGGGTGGGGAAAAGGAAAGGAGGGAGGCAGGGAGGAAAGACAGGGAAGGAAGGGGAGGGATGAAAGAAGGAGAAAGGGAGGGAGGAAGGGAGGGTGGGGAAAAGGAAAGGAGGAGGGAGGAAAGAAAGGGGAGGAGGGGGAGGGATGAAGGAAGGAGAAAGGGAGGGAGGAAGGGAGGGTGGGGAAAAGGAAAGGAGGAGGGAGGAAAGAAAGGAGAGGGGGAAGGATGAAAGAGAGAGGGAGGAAGGGAGGGACAGGAGATTATTTGGGTGCTTTTTAGACTAGAGCTCTGGACTGAAAATCAGGAAGCCCTGGATTCAAACTCTGCCATGGTCACCTTCTTGCTCTGCAACCTTGGGCGGTCACTGCCTGTCTCTGAGCTTCAGTTTCCTTTTCTGTCAAATAGGAATAACCTTAGTCCTCATGTTGCAGGGTGCTTGGGAGGGGCTATCTATAAATGAATGCCAGCTGTTACTGTTCCTTGGCAGACCTCTAAGGTCAGTCAGTCCATCCAGAAGAGCACTGGCCTAGAGTCAGGAAGACCCAAATTCAAATTCAGCCCTAGACACTTATTAACTGTGTGACCCTGGACAAGCCACTTTAACCTCTGTCTGCCTCAGTTTCCCCATTTGTCCCTTGGGGGCTGTCATAGCATCTGCCTCCCAGGGCAGACCAGCCAAGGGCCTTGTGAGCCTGCCCCTGAACCCCATGCTGACTCACATACTGTCTGAGCTGGGAGGGGGACCTTAGATAGTCTCTGACCCAACTCCTTTTTTTTTTCCTTAGGCTAGGCAGTGGGTTAAGTGACTTGCCCAAGGTCACACAGCTAGTAAGTGTTATGTGGCTGAGGCCGGATTTGAACTCAGGACCTCCTGAATCCAGGGCCGGTGCTCTATCCACTGCACCACCTAGCTGCCCCCATCAACCCCCTCTTTTCAAAGAAAGAAACTGAGAGGCACAGAGTTCAGTAGAATTTGCACCCAAGACCCCCTCTTCTTTTCCGTTCCATCAAAAGAAAAGCGTGGCTACAGCAGGGAAGACCCCCTGCAGTGCTTTCGGGAGGTGGGCCCCCCAAAGCCCACCAAACCCTGCGTGGCTCTCTCCGGCCTCAGATTTCTGCAGCCAGTTCAAGGCTCGTCTCTGGGGGCCGTGGAGCTGACGTCCGGTCTGGCAGAGGCCGATGGGCAGCATAGGCACACGGTGGATCCACGGGGGTGTTGCCCGCCCCCAGAAGTGCATGTGGCAGCCTCCTTGCTTCTTGTCACCATTTGGGTGACTTGGCCCGGGGCCATCAGCAGGTCGCAGGCTGCTGGTCCTGGCTCGGGGAGTCTGCATCTCCTGCAGACCTAGCAAGGCGCTGACAAGGCTGGGCGCTGCCACCTTCCATCCCACCTCCAGTGCCAACCTCCTCGCCTTCTGTTGCTGTGTGCCACCTTCTTCCTCTGAGAGACTTCCCTGATCCCCTCCCCCATGACATCACTGTGTTGTCTTTGGGGCTTGGCACTTGGAGGTGGACAGTTGTCTGTACTGCCCGCCGCCCCCAGAGTGGAAGCTCCTGGAGGGGGCACCTCTGTTTCTGACTCGCGTAGTCGTGTTGGTTAAATGTCGCCGGATTGAATGAGCCGGCCCATCCCAGGTCAGCAGCTGCCATCGACTCCAGTGGACCGTGGGGCGGGCAGCAAGAGGAGACTTCCAGGCCTCGGAGTCCAGCCCTCCCATTGTACAGAGAAGGAAACTGAGGCCCAGAGAGGGGGTGCAGCTTGGCCAGGGCCGCCCAGATCGGGAGCAGAGGCCGCGTTCTGAGCCTTTCCCTTACACTGTCTCCAGTGAGTGTTTGTTCAGCATTCAGGGACCCAAAAATGACCCCAGGTGCCCTGCCTTCAGGGAGCTTCCAGTCCATCAGTAAGGGTTAAACAGAAGACAGAGAGGTGGGGGCGAAGGATTCAGATGGAGGGCTCTGAGAAAAATCAGTCCATCAGCAGGCCCTTAGCACCTGCTGTGTGCCCTGAGGTGCTGGCTAGCCTGGCTCCTGCAGGCGGATGAGGCCACACACGTGTGGAGGGACCGAGTGGGAAGTGACGGCAGAGAGGAGGGGAGTGAGCGGGGAGGCCGGGGCTGGCTGCCCCCCAGTGGGGCCTTTACTCTGCCCTCCTCTCTGCCTGCAGCCGACTGACCCATAAAGTCGGAGCTGTCCTGCGTGTGGCAGAGGGAGACGAGGGGGTGTGGATGTGATGGCCGCAGGAGGCCCAGGGCAGCCCCGCTGGTGGGGTGATGGAGGAGGAGCTGCTTGGGGGCTGGGGGAGGGCTCCTGGATGCTTACCCCAGCTGGAGCCGAGAGGCCAGCCCTTGACCTTGACCAGGATTGAGAATTGACCGGCTACTGCTTTCTCTGGGATAAGGGGTTGATTCTCCAGCTGCCTAGAGGGCTGTGCCCTGGGCAGGGGGCCCCAAAAGGAAAGGCTGTCTAGCCTTGGGACCCCAGGTACCTCGCCCTGGGCGAGGGCTAGCTCCCTGGGAGGGCCAAGACCCGGAAGAGGGAACGGGAGGTGGTTTGTCTCGTTGTGGGCAGGTTTCTGCTCCTTCGCATGCTCCCAGGGTGATCCTGACCAGGGTCCAGGCTGAGGAGGTGGGCTGTGGGGCGCCCCCGAGAGTGCGGAGCTTCTGCTTGGGGCCACCTGGTCTGGGCCTGTGGCCTGCCCAGCCCTTCTCTTGGCCGCTGCCCAAACTGCCCTTGGGTCCCCTTCATTCCTAGATCCTGGCTGGCATCCCATGTGGTGGCCCGGATCCTGGCCTCATGAATCCAGTGCCAGCCCGGCCCCCTTCCGGGCCTTGGCGGGAGGCCTGGATTTCTCTCTTTGGGAAGCAGCTCAAGGTGAGGCCGTGAGGCTGAGGGCTTCATTATGGGAAGGGAGCAGCTCGGCCGAGTCTCAGGCCCCAGGCACAAGGCTGTCCTGGCGCGCACCCGATGGGGAGGGGCAGGGTTTGCTCTTCTCCCAGGGGTCCTGGGCTTGGGACCCACAGCTAGATGGGCCCAAGAAGGCACTTAGCCCAGTCCTCGGCGTTTTATGAGTAGAGGCCCCGGGGGTCAAGGTTCTGAGCAAGGTCACGCAGGGAGCCGAGATTCAACCTCGAGTCTCCTGGTCCGGAATCTCCGGGCTACAAACTGCTGCCTTCTCCCAGGTGGAGATGGTTTTATGGGGGGAGGGGGAGGCTGTCACAACGAGAGCTACCTTTGTAGAGTACCAGCTAGGTGGTATAGCAGAGGGGGCTAGGCCCGGTGTCGGAAAGTCCTGAGTTCAGATCCTGCCTCAGACGTGTCCTCATTGGGTGAGTGCCTCGGTTTCCTCATGTGTGAAATGGGGATAATTCTGGTGCCGCCCTCCCGAGATCCAACGAGCTCATTGAAAGGGGCCCGGGTCGGTGCCGGTAGGTGCTCAGTAAATGCTCGCGTCTTCCCTTCCGTCAACAAGTATTTATTGCCTGCCTCACATCCCGACTCCCTGGCCTGTGTGACGGGTTCCTCTGTTAAGGCTGAGACGTGAGGGTGAGCAGGGAGCCGTGGGTGGGGGACAGCCCTCCTGGGCCGCCCTGTCACTGATGGAGGCGGATGTCGGGGGGGGGGGGCTTCCTTCTCTACAGTCGGGTCTCCTGTGAGTTCTCAGCCGGGCTCCTGAGAGCCTACCACGCCTGCCCCTCCTGCGGGCCCCCCACACAGCCAGCACACCGTCGTGATGTCACAGTGGGGCTTTGTGATGACATGGTCACCACCAGCTCCATGGGACTGACCCACCTCATTTCTGCAGCATACGCTTTTCCTTTTTAATATATATTTAGTTTGTTACACAGTTCCTAATTACGTGTAGGACACTTTTACATTCATTTTTTAAATATGTTGAGTTCCAGTTTCCTCTCCTGCCCTTCCCTTTGGACACCTAAGCCTGGGGCTGTGGGGCGTGGCTGGGGCAGGGCTCTCTGACCACGCCCACTCGTCCCCTTTCCCCATTATTGAGTCAGGTCCCTGACAGAGCTTGGGGTATAAGGCAGAGTGCCATCCTGCTGTACATCTCTCCTCCTTTTTGGGGAGAATAAATAAATAAAACCACAACAAAACCACAGATAGGTGATGTAGTCGTAGGACGTCGGAGAGACGATGTCACAGTGAATTTCACAGTGTATCAGCTGATGCAGCCTCTGAGGGCGGTTCATTCTGTGTTTTTGTTTTAACTTCGTGTTTATTTTCTGGACAGTGAAAGAGGAAGTCTGATACCACAATTCATCCATTTCCCACCCAAAGCCGCGTTGCTCGCGTGCCCACTTCCTGGCACTTCTTTGAGAGGCCTCTGCTAGCGGCTCTGGCCGCCTTCCCTCTGTGCCTAAATGTCAGTCTTAAATGAGATGATCTTGTAAATTCTCACCTAACACCAAATAAAACGAGTGTTTCCACAGACATAACAGAGTAGAGAAACAGGGACGCGGGTGAGATGGTGAATCTCTGCTCTGCGCAGCTTGCTTCAAAGAAACGAAACCTTTAACCTTCAGAGCGGTCCTGTTTGTTGGTTCTCTGTCTGGCCTTCCCTTCTGTCCATTTAAAAACACGTGGGTGATTTTCTTTGATTGCCTTCTCCTTTGTGCCCCCTCCCCAGTGGAAAAAACCCCAAACAAGCCAAAACAAAGAAAACCGAAGCTCCTGTGACCAATAGACAGGTTAAGCAAAACATCTCCATGCCCCTTCTTTCCGGTTCTCTGCTGTTGGCGTCCTCCTCCTGCCTCGTGCCTCAGCCCATTGTCCCAAAGGGCCTTGTGCCCGTCTGGCCCCTGATGCATCGTTGTTTCCCTTTTTTGGGAGGGGGTCATCTTTGCCAACCTGACGAGGGTCCGGTAGAACCTCAGAGTTGTTTGATCTCCCATTTCTTTAATTATCAGCGATTTGGAGCATTTTTCATCTGGCTGGGGTTTTTTCTTTTCAAAGCTGCCTGTGGGGTAAGTATCCTTTGAATATTCAGCTACTGGGGAATGGCTCTTGCTCTTAAAACGCTGAATCAGTTCTTTGCGTGGCTTGGATATGAGACCTTTCTCGGAGAAACTTTTCTGCAAAGATGCTTTCTTCCCAGTTGACTGTTTCCTTTTCAGTTGCATTGATTTTAGTTTCTACAAAACCTGTTCACTTTATGTCATTGAAATTGTTTATCTCCTGCGCTCCTCTGCGTCCTGTTTGGCCTTAAACCCTGTCCCCAGTCTCAGCTGTGAGAGGCGTGCTCTTCCTCACCTCTCCAATTTGTTTGTGACGTGACCTTTTCTCAGGATCTTCTCTTGTATGTGGTGTGAGGTACTGCTCTAAACCTAATTGGGGTGGAGCTCTCGTTCCCTCCAACAGCCTGGGGTTGCTAGAGGCTGCTCAGAATCGGAGCATTTGGGGCATTCGTTCCAGCTCCCTCCCAGAGTGGAGGGCCGGCCTCTCTCACCAGAGGCTCTGTGGCACACCATTGAGTACACGCCAGTGGGGGCTCCTCTGGGGAGGAGAAGCCTTGAGTGTAGATCAAGGCCAGGCCACGTTGTTGGCACAGACGGATCTTGCAGGCTGCACACCTCCCCGCTCCCAGATCTTATTTTTACGTGAACTGGTGTCTGTACCTTCCCACCCTGCGATCCCCAGTGACAAGGAAGGCAGATAGATGAGTGAGGAGTCGTTGCGAGGACCTTCTGGTCAGACATTTCTCTTGGCCTAAAGGCCACATGCGCGGCTCAGACTTGGGTCCTCTCTCACCCACATCTCACACCGTTGACTTGGTAGGGAGATGGCTGTTTCATCCATTCCCATCTTCTTTAAAAGTGATGGAAAGAGGAGGGGAAGGGGAGAGGGGGGAGGGGAATTAGAGGGAGGTAGATTAAGGAAGGGTCGTCCTAAGCAGAACGAATTCCAAGAATGTCCAAAACTATTCATAACAGCTTTTTTTCAAAGTGGCCAAGATTAGAATCTGAGGGAGTGGCGATCGATTGGGGAATGGCTGAACGAGTTCTGTATGAAGGTGACGAGCTGCTTTGGGGCTCTGAGAAACGATGGAGAGGGTGGCGGAGAAGTTGGGGAGGTTGTATGTAAATGAAGGCAAAGGGGAAGCGAGCAGAGAGAGAACCAGGAGGACGTTTATGCGAAGATGAGTGTGATGGAGGCAGACGGGCAGGTGGGAGCTGTGGTGGCCATGATGACAAGCCACGGTCCCCAAGAGGGGAGGGGCTTCACACGACGCTGGATGCGGCCCACCTGGACGTCTGTGTTCGTTGACAACGTGGGGTTTTCTCTTATTCCCAGCTGGGTGCCGAGGTTGGGGTGAGAGGATGAGAAGGTGGGTCTTTGCTGAGTGAAGGAAATAAATTACCATTTGAAATGGGGTTAAAACTGTTTTCTTTGCCCTGCTCCAGTTTCCACGGGACTGTCGTCGGTCACCAGGCTCCCCAGAGGGAATTTCAGTTGCTGGGTTCTAGTTCTACCTTCTGTTTCCATGGAAATAGCCCCTGGACCAGCACAGGTAAGTGTTTCAAAATCTTGTTTCTTGTTAAATGTCCTCTTGCCATCAAATGGAGAACTTTGGATGGGGTTGAGAGAAATTACCCGAGGGGTTGGGATGGTGCTCGGTAGAAGTGGGCCAAGAAAAGAGGGATGCTGGAAGTTGAGGGGCATGAAAGCTGGCGTAGGATACCTTCAGGATGGGCGCTGCCCAGCACCGGTCTGGGTCGGGGTGACGGTGACCCGGGAGAGGAGGAGGATGATGACAGGAGAAATTTGCCAGGGAGGCAGGCGGGGGGAGACGAGGCGGTGTCCATCTTCCATCTGGTCACTGTGGGACCGGCTTTTCTTATATGGGTGGGCAGGGAGATGATGTTGGCACCGTGTCTCACGCCAGCCTCTGGGGGCTGCTTCTGTGTAGCTTCTGTGGGCAAGTCACCTCTTTAAGTGTCTGGCAGAGAGTCAAAGCACTCTGGGTCTGCCTGGGCTGGCAGCCCCAAACTCACTTCTCTCCCCAAGTTTACAGCTCAGGGTTGGAGGGGACCAATCTCAGGAGGCCTCTGGTCCAGTTGTCTCTGGACAGAAGTCCTCTGCCGCGGTGCCCAGGTGTCGCTGGACACTCCACCGAGCTCTCCTGAAGCTTCCCTCCTCTTGCCAAGGGCACCTCCGTCCCCCAGTCTCCCACTGAGCTGTCGGCCTCCATGGCCCACTCGGCTTACCCCCCACGTAGCCAGAGGCGATCATTCGGCCTTCATGGGGACCACCCTCTTGCTGAAGACCCTCGTCCCTTCACACACAGGCTTTTTAAAAATATTCAATTAAATATTATGGTTTTCAATCAAGGAAAATCTGCCCCAATCCATTAAGAAAGAAATAAAAGTAAAACCCATGTTACAAACATATATAGTCAAGTAAAATAGATTCTCATACTGGCCATGTCCGAATCTATCTATCTGTCTGTCTATCCATCTCTCCATCTCTCCATCTTTATCAATCCATCCATCCATCTCTGTTTGTTCATCTCTATCCCTCCATCCATCTCTATCCATCTCTCTGTTCATCTCTCTCTCTCTCTCTCTCTCTCTCTCTCTCTCTCTCTCTCTCTCTCACACACACACACACTCTCTCTCTCTCCCTCCCTTTCCCACACACACACTCTCTCACACACACACACACACACACGTACTCTCTCTCTCTCACACACTCACACACACACACACACTCTCCTCTCTCTCACGCACACACACTCTCCTCTCTCACGCACACACACACACACACACACACACACTCCTCTCTCTCACGCACACACACACACACACACACACTCCCCTCTCTGTCTCTCACACACATACACACACACTCCCTCTCTCTCTCACACACACACACACACACTCCCCCTCTCTCCCTCTCTCACACACACACACATTCCCCTCTCTGTCTCTCACACACATACACACACACTCCCCTCTCTCACACACACACACACACACACACACACACACACACTCCCCTCTCCCTCTCTCACACACACACATTCCCCTCTCTCTCTGTCACACACACACACACACACACACACACACACACACACCCCTCTCTCCCTCTCTCTCTCACACACATACACACACACTCCCCTCTCTGTCTCACACACACACACACACACAACACACACACAGTCCCCCTCTCTCTCTCTCATACACACACACTCACTCCTCTCTCTCTCTCTCTCTCTCTCCCTCCCCCCCCCCTCCCTCTCTCTGTCTCACACACATACACACACACACACTCCCCTCTCTCTCTGTCACACACACACACGCACACACACACGCACACATCCCCTACCTCCTTCTCTGTCAGAAGATGGGCAGCATGCTCCAGCATGAGTCCTTTAGGACTATGACGAGGTCTCCCTGCCCCCGCCCCGTCTCCCCCGACCCCGCAGAGCTTGCCAAAGTGCAGGGCCAACCGTGTCCCCCTCTCAGTAAACTCCACTGGCTTCTCGTCAGCTCCGGGATGAAATAAGAAATCCTCTGGTTCAAAGCCTTTCCTGACTGGCCTTTCCAGTCTTCTTACGCCTTATATTTCCCCCCTTCCTCCGGTACCCCAGCCTCCTGGCTGTTCCTCACACAAGGCCATCTCCAGACTCCCAGCATTTTCTCTGGCTGTGCCTCATGTCTGAGATTCTGTTCCTTCTTATCTCCTTCTCCCAGCCTTCCTGGCTTCCTTCGAGTCCCGGCTAAAATTCCCCTTGTGCAGGAAGCCCGGGCCAGCTCCCCCTGCCCCTCTCCCCACCCACACAGTTCAGGACTCCTGCTAGAGGTCCCTCTGTACGGTACCAGGCCTCAACCGCAGTAACCATCCGGACCCCACACTCTGAGCACTGTGAGATCATAGAATTGTGGGCGTGTCAGCAGACTGCCCTATGGAAACACCTGCCATCTTTGTGTCTGCCCTGACCATAACTCTGTTCCTGTGGGTCTGTTGACTATAGCTCCTTGAGGATAGGGACTGTTTCTCATATCTATTTGTCTCCAGTCCTGAACCCTGGGCCCGGCACATAGTAGGTGCTTAATGAATGGGTTTTTCTGGTCCTTCAGTGGATTTGTCCTGTTTCTCCACTTTACCTGTATTACCTTTTGTTTGAGGGTCAGTGTCCTGAGGTGTGCTGGCCACCCTCTTTGGACTGTACTCACTGGATAGGAGAGCCAAGGCTTCTCCTTAACTTGGAGAGAAGATGGGCCCTTCTGGGCTGAAGTTAATTCATGCCTTTGACTTCTCCAGAATCAGGGGCAGCCTTGGGTGGGTGGGGCCTGCTGGTCCCTGGCATTCGGTGGCCACGGGGCTGCAGCCCCCCGCCCGGTGGTGGGTTCAAGCTTGCTCCTTTTCAGCAGCAGCGGCATCATTCAGGGACATGGCCCAAGTCTCAATGATTGGCGCCTTCCCGGGCCTGGTTCTGAAGCTCTGGGTCTGGGGGACCAGCCAGCTGGTAGGTGCCTGGGAAGGGAGAGCCGCCGTTGACCCAGCCTCGCCCTTCTTTGCATCAGTTGCCTAGTCGGCAGATGGACCATAGCCCCTCGTCGCCAGCCGCCTGACCCTGCTTGTCAGTCCCACCTTCCTGGGCTCCTGCGGGCCCGTTCCTGGCAGGGGCCCATGTTTGGAGAGGTGTAGTGGAAAGAGGGTGCATCTCTGCTGAGCTCCATCAGGGACAAGCACAGTGGTCTCTGGGCCCACTTCCCCCTTCAGTCTACACCAGGCAGAGGGCGGGCTCTCCTTGGCCCAGAAACGACATGGCGGGCAGGTGTCGCTCAGCTCGGCTTAGAAACACCTACTACGTGCCAAGAACTGGGCCAAGAGCCAACTATACAAAGAAGGGCAAAAGGCGGGCTTTGCTCTCAGGGACCTTGCAGTGTGATGGGGAAAACAACATGCAAACAGCCATGTTCAGACAGGATGTATTCGGGGGGAAATGGTGACCTGTCAGCAGAGGGAAGGCACTGGAATTAAGGGGCATCGCGAAAAGTTCTGGTGAAGGAGGGACTTCAGCTGAGACCTGAGGGAGTCTGGGAAGCCTGGAGGAGGTAGAGCCTTCCAGGCAAGGGGCACAGCCCAGGGAAACGCCCAGAGTTTGGAGACAGTGTGTTCGAAGGGCAGCAAGGATGGCTGAGTAAGCGGGAGGGGGTGTGTGTGTGTGTGTCTGTCTGTGAGAGTGAGTGTGCTATGTGTGTGTCTGTGTGAGTGTCTCTGTGTGTTATGTGTATGAGTGTGTGTGTGTTATGTGTGTGTGTGTGTGTGTGTGTGTCAGTGTGAATGGCTGTTATGTGTGAGTGTGTGTTATGTGTGTGAGTGTATGGGTGTTATGTGTGAGTGTGTGTCTCTGTGAGTGTATGTGTGTGTTATGTGTGAACATCTGTGTGTGGTGTATGTGTCTGTGTCAATGTGAGTGTCTGTGTCAATGTGAGTGTGTATGTGTGTGAGAGTGTGTGTCTGTGAGAGAGTGGCTGTTACGTGTGAGTGTATGTGTGTGAGAGTATGTGTGAGTGTGTGTATCTGTGTCTATATGAATGTGTGTGTGTCTGTGTGTCTATGTGAGTGTTTGTGTGTTATGCATGTCTGTGTGATATAATGTGTATGTGTGTGTATGTGAGTGTGTCTGTGTCAGTGTGAGTGTGTGTGTGTTATGTGTGTGTCTGTGAGAGAGTGGCTGTTACGTGTGAGTGTATGTGTGTGAATGTGTATATCTGTGTCTGTGTGAATAAGTATGTGTGTGTGTGTGTGTGTGTGTGTGTCTCTATGTGAGTGAGTGAGTTTATGGGGGTGTCGTGTGTGTGTGTGTGTGTATGAGGGGCAGAAAGACGGGAAATGTTAGGAAGGCCTTTGGATGCCCAAGGAGGGAGAGACTGGAATGGAGAGAAACTGAGGCAGTCTGATGACCAGCTCCGGCTGGGGTACTCCAGGTGTGAGATGATGAGGTCTGCTCTGGGTGGGTAGGGGCACTGTCAGAGGAGAGGTGCGCCTGGACGGGCCTTAGCAACAGCTTAGACGTGGGGGTCTATTGACCCCTTGGGTGGGAGCCCTCAGTCCTGGGGGGCAGGTGGTGAGTTAGGAAGGGGGAAGCTGGGGGAGAAAGAGAACAGGGTCAGTTTGGGACCCTTTGGGTTGAAGATGTCTCCTGGCCATCCAGGTCTGTTGAAGATGGGAGAGCATGGAGAGAGAGGTTAGGACTGGACAAAGCATTCTGGGAGTCGTCTCCATAGAGACAACAATTGAAACCATGGGAACGGATGAGCTCACCAGCTACACAGGGGGGAGGGAAGGGGGCCCGGGTGGAGCCCCAGGGACGCCCAAAAGCATCCTTGGTGTGCGGTGTTTGGCATTTGTCATGAGCATGGAAGGATTAGCGTGGTGTAGAGGAGAGAGAGCCGACCCGGGAGTCACGGAGCTCTGGCAACGTGTCGCCCCTGTCCCCTCCTGGCTGTGGGACACGAGGGAAACGATGCGTCCTCTCTGTGGATGCCCTGTGGACGAGGAGGTCGCCGAGGGTGGGTCCTCACTTGTGCGGTCCGGAGATTCCTGGCGGCCTGGAGGGCCCAGGCCCATTTGGGCATCCCGGGGCCGTGCCCCCTGGGGGGCTCGCACTTTGGGCCCACGTCCTCTGAAGAGCAGGGGCTCCAGCCAGCAGCTCCCCTCCTCTTTGCCCTCGGGGTGCCCTGGCGAGGTATGTTAGACATGCCCCGAAGTCAGTCACTGGGCTGGAGACCCCCGGTGCAGAAGGAAGCATTCGCCTTCCTCCCGAAGGGGAGAAGACAAGGCCAGAAAGGGAGCCGTGGAGCCCTCCGCGGTGCTGGCTGCTAGTGAATTGTGTTCTGTGTGTGGAGCAGGCATTCATCAGTCGCTGAGCTAGGCTCCTCCCACTTCCCCTTTGAGCCTCACGATGGCCCTGTGAGGTGGCTGCCTATCTCATCCCGTTTGGCAGATAAGGAAACCAAGGCAGCTAGCAGGGAAGTGCTTTTGGAGCCCGTGGACAAAGTCACTGGAGCGTTTGAGCTGGGCCCCGACTGTGAGCCCACTGTGTGTGCCACCTGGCCACCTAGGAAAGAAGGGTCACTTAGAGGATCAGAACACGCCTCCTCTTCTTACAGATGGGGAAACCGAGGCAGGCAGCGAGGGAGGGACTTGCCCCCGGGAGTGTCCAAGGTGGATTTTAGCTCAGGCCTGCCCGTGATCCTACCCTTCCTGTGGCCTCCACGATAGCCTTTGTCCCCCAGGGATCTGGTCCTGGCATTCAGGACCCCCTCCCCCAGGCCAGTACTGCTGTCTGTTTCTGGCCTGTGTTCTTCCCCTTCTCCCATCAGCTGGGCAGGGCTCCTTTCTGCTCCCCAGACACACTCCTCATTCTGCTGCTACCACCATCCCTGTGTGACCACTCTGCACTGTGTCTGTGCAGGAGGCCCCCTCTTCCAGGGGGCCTTCCCGATTGCAAGGCACTAACCCCCTTCCCCCCGCTGACGGCGCCTTCTTGGGGTTGGCTCTCTGGCCTGGCATCTCTTTGGCCTCTCGGCAGGAGGGTACCAGCAGGGCCAGGACCCTGCCTCGGCTGCTCTGGGCAGAGGGCAGTGACTGGTGGCTTCTTGCCAGCTCTACCAGAGGTCCGCTAAATGCCCACTGGCAGAGGCCCAGTGGGGGGTCTTAGGTCTGGGGGCAGGTGTTGGAAGAGGCAGCTTCCAGGGCACCCAACTGGGCACCGAGGCTCCGACGTCACCCGATCCTTTATTGTAGAAAGGCTTCGTGTCGAGGCAATCCCTGTTCTGTGCGTAGGAATGCTTGTTTGCTGGCACTTTCTCAGGGTCAGGATTGTAAGAGATTATTCTGTCAAATGGACCTCATTCAAACACAGAGAGAGAGAGAAATGGGGAGGGGAGAGAGGGGGAGAGAGAGATGGGGAGGGGGGAGAGAGAGAGAGAAGTGAGGGGAAGAGAGATGGGGAGGGGAAGAGAGGGGGAGAGAGAGAAAAAAGAAAGGAAAAGGGGGAGGGGAGAGAAGAAAGGGGAGGAGGGAGACAGGAAGGAAAGAGAGAGGGAAAGAAAAGAAAAGGAGAGGAAAAAGGAAGAAAAAGGGGAAAGGGGGGAGAGGGAGAGGAAAAAGAGAAGAAAGAAAAGGGGGGAGGGAAGAGAAGAAAGGGGAGAAGGGAGACAAAGGAGAAAGAGAGGGAAAGAAAAAAGGAAGGAAAAGAGAGAAGGGAGAGGAAAAAGAAAGAAAAAGGGGGAGGGGAGAGAAGAAAGGGAGGGAAAAAGAAAAGCAGGGAGGGGAGAGATGGAGAGAAAGAAGCAAAGGAGAGGGAAAAAAGGGAGAGAGAAAGAGAAGTAAGGGAGGGGGGGGAGGAGACAGGAAGGAAAGAAAGAAGAAAGGAAAGAAGGGAGAGAGAGGAAGGTTAAGGAGAGAAGGAAGGGGAGAAGGGAAATAGAAAGGGGAAAGAGAGGGACAGAAAAAAGGAAAGAAGGGAGAGAGAGGAGACAGAGACGAGAGCCCGCTTGCCTGCCCCAGGTGGTCCTGTGCCTGTGAGCCCTCCTGGGCACTGAGAGCAGGGGCTTGGCCAGCCAGCCTGCAGCTTTTCAGGAACTGGCCCTGCCCTGAGGGTGCTTATGATCTCATAGGCACAGAGACTATGCCAGTTGGGAGGGTCAGCTTGGGTCATCCATGACTCGGGGGTCAGAGCTGAAAGGGGGAGGGACTTTGAGGGCATCGGGCTGAAGCCTCTCACTTTGTGGAGGAGGAGGCCTCGGACGGTGGGGCAGGGCAGTAGACCTGCCCACGGTCACCCAGCTCTCAGTGAGGGCTGGCATTGCAGATGCCTGGGAAGGAGTGTTTCTCAATTTGTTTCTCTTCAATTGAATCTGCCTGTATCAGGCACTGGCTGTATACCACACACTGTGTGGGACGGGACTAGCAGGGAGTGGACACATGGTGGGTGCAGTGTGGGAGAGAAGGCGGGAAGGACCCAGAGGGGTGGCAGGGCCAGAGAATGCTGGCGACTCACCGTTCTCTCTCTCTCCCCAGGGATGAGTGGGCTTCTTCGAGCCAGGCCACCGGACAAGACCAGGCAGGTGAGCCACTTCCCTGTGCCGTGGTCTTCATTCGAACCCCCTTTTTTGTTATTACGTGATATTACTCTCTCGCCTTCGGGGCCCGGCCCCCTCAGCCACCTTATGGGGGAAGCCTGCGCGGTCTGCCAGCCGGAGAGGCGAAGGCTCGGCTGGGCTTCCTGCCACAGGCGACCTTTCCTGCCCTGTCCTTGCCGCTTGGGGAGGGTACCCGAATAACAACAGTGATAGGATGAATAGTATAGCGTTGTTTTGGTTGAATTAATATAGCATTTATTCTATTATTATGGCAGCTAGCTTTAAGGTGCGTAAAGCTCTTTACAAGTCCCTCACCTGCCTTCACTCCCCTTTTCTGAAGCATCAGAAACTGAGATGGACTTTCTCTGCTTCGCCAGGACCCAGTGCCCACTCCCGTCCCCAGCAGGGGGTGCCATCTTTGACTGCAAGGGTACAGTCTCTGTGTTTTCAGCCTTACTCTGGCCTTCCAGATAGCTTTTCCAAGAAAATTCAAAAGAAACTTGAAGTTCTACCAACAGTGAATGTGTACTGATGTCCTCAATGGGTCTCATTGTCTTCCTGCTGTTTGGAAGCTTGATGGTCACACGATGGTACCTCAGCACCCTTTTAATTCCGGTCTCTCTGATGAGTGATGATTCTAAATGTATTTGCCCCACGCACACGTGGGACACTAGGACCCACTGTCCTCTGGGGCCTGGATGCTGCTGCCTTTGTAAATGGGAACGTGTCGTCTGTGTTTTCTGACCTCGTTTTCTTATCTGTCCTGTTTACCAGGCATGCAGATACAGACACAGGCACAGATATAGACACAGATGTAGACGTAGATAGAGAGGATTTCCCAGGGCGTTTGTTAGCTTCGTTTTTCTCTGTTATATTGTTCATTGCCATTGACTCTCTGTTGCCCTGTCTGAGGGTTCACACCAACATACAGACACACGCATGCATGTGCACACACACACCATGCACACACACACATTCACACATGCCCATGCACACGTTCTCTTACACCCCCCCACAATACATGCAGACCCACATACTACACACATACCACACACACGCACACATATACACCCCCCCCATACACACACACATGCTGCTTACCCATCACACACGCGCACACACTCATAAACGCCATGTGCGAATACACACACACACACACACACACACACACACACACACACACACACACTCACTCCTCCAGGGACGTGTAGTCCAACACACTCGGCCTGATGTTTAAGTCCCTACCATGTGAGAGGCAGTGAGCTGGGTGTTGGGGGTTCAGAGATAAAAATAAAAAATGGGCCCTGCCCTGTGGATCTTTGATTCTCCTGGGGGACCTAACCTTTGCTCAGAGAGGAAAATGTGGGATGATTTCAGGAGGAGAGAGGGAGTGTTCACCCCGGAGCACTTCCCGGGGTCCTCTGAGAGGTGCTGGTGAGCGGGGGGGGGTGGCATTCCAGGCCAGTTGAAAGGGTCTGAAATGGGACAGAATGCTCTGGGAGGGTCAGTGAGGCCGGAACACAGTCTGGAGGAGGAAGCCCGTGAAGGGCTTCAGAAGCCGGGCTGAAAGGTTGTCTTTGGTCCTAGAGGCAAAAGAAGAGTCTAGAGCTGAGGAGCCATGTGCTCAGGCTTGGCTTGTCATCACATGGAGGGCAGCAGTGATTGGGCAGGGACAGCTGGGTTCAGTCTCCTGGGGGGGCTAAGGACAGCTGGGTTCAGTCTCCTGGGGGGGGCTAAGGACAGCTGGGTTTAGTGTCTTGGGGCTAAGGACAGCTGTGTTCAGTCTCTTGGGGGGGCTAAGGACAGCTGGGTTCAGTCTTTTGGGGGGGCTCAGGACAGCTGGGTTCAGTCTCCTGGGGGGGGCTAAGGACAGCTGGGTTTAGTATCTTGGGGGGGCTGACAGCTGTGTTCAGTCTCCTGGGGGGGCTAAGGATAGCTGGGTTCAGTCTCCGGGGGGGGGGCTAAGGAAAGCTGGGTTCAGTCTCTTGGGGGGGGTTTGGCTAGGGACAGCTGGGTTCAGTCTCTTGGGGCTAGGGACAGCTGGGTTCAGTCTCCTGGGGGGGGGCTAAGGACAGCTGGGTTCAATCTCTTGGGGAGGCTAAGGACAGCTGGGTCCAGTCTCTTGGGGAGGGGGTTTGGCTAGGGACAGCTGGGTTCAGTCTCTTGGGGCTAGGGACAGCTGGGTTCAGTCTCCTGGGGGGGGCTAAGGACAGCTGGGTTCAGTCTCCTGGGGGGGGGGGCTAAGGACAGCTGTGTTCAATCTCTTGGGGAGGCTAAGGACAGCTGGGTTCAGTCTCCTGGGGGGGGGCTAAGGACAGCTGGGTTCAGTCTCTTGGGGGGGGGTTTGGCTAGGGACAGCTGGGTTCAGTCTCTTGGGGGGGGTTTGGCTAGGGACAGCTGGGTTCAGTCTCCTGGGGGGGGCTAAGGACAGCTGTGTTCAATCTCTTGGGGAGGCTAAGGACAGCTGGGTCCAGTCTCTTGGGGGAGGTTTGGCTAGGGACAGCTGTGTTCAGTGTCTTGGGGGAGCTAAGGACAGCTGTGTTCTGTCTCTTGGGGCGGTTTGGCTAGGGACAGCTTTGTTTGGTCTCTTGGAGGGGGCTAAGGACAGCTGGGTTCAGTCTCTTGAGGGGCTAAGGACAGCTGTGTTCAGTGTCTTGGGGGGGTGGCCCCTCTGTTTCCCAGTACATCCCTCCTTTCCCCTCCTCCTTTTGCAACCTTTTATAATTGGGAGGTGTTTGGCTCCTTTTTGGGGTGTGGGAGCCCACCCTAAGCCAGGATTGCCTGACCCCTTCATCTCCCTGCCCTGGAGTGCCAGAATCCTTCTGTGTAAGGCCCCTGGTCAGTGGAGACATGGTAGGGCCTGGGGGAGCCCCTTTGCTGGCAGTTAGAGAGCACACTGAGATGTTCAGAGGGCCTCCTGTGAATGGGATCTGAACCTTGCTAGGAAGGCGCTGTTAGGATGCCCATTTTGTAGATGATGGAACTACTGAGACAGGCAAAGGTGATGTGACCTTCCCTGGGTCCCTGGATCAGAAGTGCTGTGGCTGGATTTGAACTCGGGTCTCTGACTCCAGGCCTAGGGCTCTGTTCACTGGGACACTGTCCCCAGCTGCCTCAGGCCAGACGTCTCTCATTGGCCACTGTTAAGTGAGAGAAGGAAGAGCCTTGATCTCATTTTTTAAAAGTGTCAGTGGAAGGAGCCAAGCCAGGAGGTGTTGGCAGCCAGGGGTGCCCCGTGGACAGTGCTGGGCTGCCTCAGAGACTGAATGGCCCTGGAGCAGTCACTTCCCTGTGCCTGCCTCCATCTCCTCACCGGTACAGCAGGGGCGCAGCGGCATTGCCCTCTCAGGGCTGTGGTGAGGACCCGTGCCTCCACCCCCATCAGCCTTTCCTGTCCCCTAGAGCTTGGAAGTCTGCGAGGCTCCTCACGGGCTATCTCCTCAATCCTCACAGATACTCCGTGAGGCAGATTCTCTTCTTGTCATTCCCATTTTATAGATGAGGCAGCTGAGGCAGAGGCTATTAGTGATGGGCCTAGGGGTCTGGTGCAGGATTTGAACTGGGCTCTCCCTCGCACCCTCAGGCTGGGCCGTGTTTTGTCCTGTGACGCTAACCCTCAGAGCCCGCCCCCCACCTTCTGGCCAGCGGTTCGCCGTGGGTCCCCTCACGTCCTTGCGTCCCTCAGGTCGACACCAGAATGGAAGCCAAGAACGTCAAGCGAGGCAAGTGTGTGAGCCATCGCAGCACCCCCTGCCGAGAGCCCGTGGCCCCCTGGGCAGGCGTTGGCTTCAGGGCCCACTGTTTGAAGAACTTTACCATCCCCAAGATCCGGAGGACAGCAGAGAAAGGTACCTGCCTGCCGGCCCACGGGGCCCTTCTCCGGGGCTGAACGCCCAGGGCTCGTTGTGCACCCCGCCTATGGGGCCCTTAGTAACATCCAGGATGCCTCTGATGCCCCGGGGGGAGGGGTGGCTGGACGTCCATCTTGGTTCGCTGCAAACACGTGGCTCCCAGCCCATCTCGCCTCCTGGCTGGGCACGCCAGGCAGCGTCTGTGGGGGGAAGCGTCCTGACGAGGGGGAGCGGGGACATCCCAGGGCGCGGGGTCACCCCCCTGTCTGCTTCGTCCCCAGCGTACCTGTCAATTTGCCACACTAATCGGAGGGAGTACAGCTCCATCAGCCATGCCCTGGCCCAGTGCAGGCTCGACCTGAGCTGTGAGCTGCAGGCCGTGTGGCAGTTTGGGGAAACTCAGCTGGTTCACAATGAGTATCTGGAAAGGAAGTTTTCGGCCAAGAGGTGAGCGCCCTCCGTGTGAGGTCAGACCTTCGCCCAGCGCAGGTGGGGCTGTGGCAGAGGAGAGGCCTCCTTCCCCGGGAGGTCCCGTGGGCCCAGATTAGCTCCTTCTGAGACCTCGGCTGGCTTCTGCTTGTGGTCGGGGACCCTGAGGGACACTGGTAGGGTCCTGCCCGCGTCTGGGGCCACGAAAGGACCTGGGAAGCCGTCAGGCTAACACATTCATTGTTTAGGAGAGGAGCTGAGGAGACCGAGGAGGCTAGGGGCCCAGCTTTGGGTCTGCCGAGCCCACCCTGCAGTTTGGCAGATGAGCAGTGGGGACTGGAGGAGTCCGGTGATGGAAGTGGGGGTGGTGGGCACCCTCTGCTCATGGGCTTCCTGGCCTGGCTGGGGGCCCTCCAAGATGCCTGCAGGGATCGCGGTCTGCCCCAAGTCCTCTGACCCTTCGTGGTTCCTCATAGGAAGGAGATGCGGGAGCGTGGCCGGCCAAGCCACAAGCTGGAGGAACATTATTGCTTCTTGGCACTGTCCCACGGTGCCATGTCCCAGATGTACAAGACTGGGCTGTGCACCCACGAGTCCACCATGAAGGCCCTCGGCAGTCCCCTGCTCGGCGTCTATGTGTTCAGGCACGCTGACGTTGCGCTGAGTTACACGCACAGCAAGAAGCAGCACGTGGACACGCTCATGATTTTTAAGGTAGGCAGGCTCCTTGGGGCTGTTGGCCAGTGCAGGTTTCAGCAAGCATTTATGGAGTGCCTTGTGAGTACCAGGCACACAGCCAAGGTGGGGGAGGAGAAGGGTCCCTGTCCTCAAAGAGCTTCCATTCCAAAGATTCACAAAGTAAGTAGTGACTTCTCAGGGTTGGGAGGGCCCTAAGGCCTGGGGGCATCAGGAGAAGGGAGGGAGTGTGCCCTGGGCACAGCTCGTGCAGATGCTTGGAGGTGAGAGACAGCCAGAGCAGCAAAGAAGGCGGTTTGGGTGGAGAGCCCATGCGCGCGTGTGTGTTGGACGGTTCGGTGTGTCTGCCCTCCTCTGTCTCTCTGCCACACCTGGGCAAGGAGGGCGAGCTAACCCACGCGCTGACGGCATCTCCCTTCTTGCCCCTCCCTAGGACGTGGCCCCGGTCCTGGCCTCTGCGTGGGGGCCACATTTAACACTCTCCACCTCCCTCCCTCAGGTTCTCTATGGAAAGGTGAAGAAGATTCAGCCCGTGGTGGACAAGGGTAAAACATCTCTGGACCCTTCACCCAACTTTGACTGCCACATGTCGCGACTTGTCCCGACGCCCAAAGACTCCATCGAGCAGCAGGCCATTGGCTCTGCCGTACGTGCTCCTTTTCTTTTTCCTTTTTTTTTTTTTTTAGGCAGCTGGGGTTAAGTGACTTGTCCAGGGTCACACAGCTTGTAAGTGTCAAGTGTCTGGTCTGAGGCCACATTTGAACTCGGGTCCTCCTGACTTCAAGGCCAGTGCTCTATCCACCGTGCCACCTCGCTGCCCCCCTTTTCCTTTCCTTGCCACGCCCGTCGGGATCTGGTGCTGCTTCCACAGCCACGTCACCTGGTCAGTCACCGTAGGGCCACTGTCATCAGACATAATGGTAGCTCACACCTAGGGGATCTGGTGCCTCAGAGTTTGCCCCACGTGATGCAGATATCCTCTCGTCTGGTGCCCACAATAGCCCTCGTCTACGGGGGAGGAAACTGAGGCACAGTTGGAGCCCGCCCAGCATTATGCCGCTAATGCGCGTCTGAGGCCAGATTTGAATTCGAGACCTCCTGACGCCAAGGCCAGCCCTGTGTCTCCGGAGTACTACGTATGGGAATCGTTTGAAGGAGTTGGAGCGTTGAACCTGGCAAGAGAAGACCTTGTTCCTCGTTTCTGTTTTCTCAGCCACAGAAGAAGAGTTAGGTTTGTGCTTTAGGCCCCTACAGTGGATAGAAGCTGGAGCAGTGGAGGATTGGAAAAAAGGAACCCACTTAGGAGGCCACTGGGACCATCGCGTGGGAAGCTCCAGCGTCAGGCGGCCTTCTCCCCATCAGACGCTGGGAAGTTACAACAAGCACGTGTTCAGAAGCCAAAGTCAGCCACGTCCTGATCTGACCCCAATAAAGATGCGGGAAGCAGCGGCAGAAGGTTCGTGCCTCCCCGGGGCCTCATGAGGGCGCTGAGTGCTGGGAATCAGAGAGGGAATGATGGGTGGGGTGAGAGAGAGAAACCGATGCACGAGGCGAGGCCCCCGACTTCTGGGCTGCAGCCACCACCTTCTTCTCCATGCGAGAATTCTTCCTCTGCACATATGTGTGGACACATCTTACCATGGAGTTCTGACAACTGGAAATCAACCGATCAGCCCAAAAGGACCTAACGTTTAAAAAAATCTAGAAGACTGCCGATGCTGAGAAACATTTAGCTGATCTGGTCCCCAAGAGTAGGGTGGAAATCACAGGACCGAAACAGGCAGTATCTGCGCAGAGGAGGCGTTGAAAGCATCGTGCAAAGACGTGCCTGCTCTCTGGCATGGCTTCAGAAGAGGCCTGGGTTCAAATCCTCAGCACCTCGCCTCGTTGGGCATAATCATGACACCCACCCTGGGACTGTTGTGAGGGTCACACAAGACTGTATTTGCCAAGTGATTAGCAAACCTTGAAAGCCTTCTAGAAATGTAAGTTATCAGTATGATTGTTAGCCAGCAATTGTGTAAATGTTCAGTCACGTCTGACTCTGCATGACTCCATTTGGGGTTTTCTTGGCAGAGATACTGGAGCGGTTTGCCATTTCCTTCTCCAGCTTGTTTTATAGATGAGGAAACTGAGGCAGACAGGGTGAAGTGACTTGCCGAGGGTCACAGAGTTAGGAAATGTCTGGATTTGAACTCAGTTCCTCCTGACTCCAAGCCCAGAACTCTATCCACTGTGCCACCTAGTTACCCCATTAGCCAAGAAAACCATGATAAATAATCCTCTGTTTCTAGCAAAACCAAGAATTAAAAAGAAGTGGAGGATATTTACAGAAATTGTAAATGCCAATTAACGTGAAACGAAATAGAGATTTTGTAAAAAGTTTTATTCAGGCTGTGACAAATGCCTGGTACAATGAGTGATTCGGTGGAGAAGGTCCATGGAGCAAGAGCATTAATTGTCCACGAGGCTGCACGTGTCCGCTCAGTCCAGGCTGGCTTCCTCTTGAGGACAGAACGAGCGGTCTGCTTGTCCAGGATTCCTTCTGCCCTTGCATCCCTTCTCTGCATTAAAAAGAGAAATGCTATCACGAGCCCCTTTTCTCCTTCTAGCATCCCTCTCAATAGCCCCTCCCCCTTCCATCACCCACCCCCCCCCCGGGGGAAAAAAAAGACATCCCTTGAAGCAGACGGACGTGATCAGGCAAAGCAGATGCCCGTGCTGGACGCGTGGAACAGTGTCTCATTCAGCAGTCAGGCCCCCGAGGGCAGCCTGCTCCGTCACGGGACTCTCAGCCGGTCTGGTGGTGATAGCAAACACGGCAGGACAGCAGGGGGGACCCTCCAACTTCTCTCAGTCAGTCCCGGCTGGGGCTGGTGAAGCAGCAGGCTTGCCGATGCCTAGAATCAATACAGAGGATCGGAGGGCAGCCGGTTAGCCTGAAATGCAGCTAAGGAACTCACCCAGATTGATCTGTGGGGGGATGCTGCAAAATGTGTAAGGGTCTTCTAACGCGTGTGCTACATGGAGGTCCGAGCAAGCGGTGGTGTGGGCTGGAACAGGCACTAGTTGTGCACGTGATGTTGGAGTGGGTGCTCCAGGTGGAAACACACCACGCCTGTGTGTGTGTGCAGACCACATCTACCTGTGTGCACATGGCGGGGAGAGAGGCAGAATGGACAGAACATGGCCATTGATTGGAGGAACGTGAGGGGCTTGGGAGAGAGGTCAGGGTCTAGGATGACTGCACGAGGCCAAGACCGCGTACCTCAAACAGGGTTACCCTCAATGGAGAGTGCTTTGGAGGGCAGAGGTTTAGGGTGGAAGATGATGAGATCTGGGTGGGCTGCATCAAGCCACACAGGGACACCCCCCCCCCCAGAGGTGCATAGCTTTGGAAGCCATCTGTGGAGAGGGCATCATTGAGGCCGGAGAGGCCGTTTTTCTTTTAATGACCTTCCCAGTCATCTATACCCTGCCCTAGAGATCAAAGGCCATTGTTGTATTTGAGGGAAAAGGCCTTGAAGGGCAGCACTGGCCATGCTCCCAGACGGCCGGCTGCTTCAGCCACAGCCGAGTGAGGTGGTGACCATGGGCCGTGCCCTGGACCTAGAGAACTGAGTAAGGCCTGGTGAGGATCTGAATGGACTGGCTGGGGACAACTGTGACAGAGCCCCCAGGCAAAAGCACCCTCCTCCTTCCCCTTGCCCCACCCCTTCACTGGCCCCCGACCCAATGAGGAATGAGGATTGGGAGTAGCACAGGCCAGTGCCTGCCTCTGGGGTTATTGCCAGGATCCGGTGAGACGATGTTAGGAAAGAAGCTGGCACAGGGCTTGCCATGGAGTGGGTACCATGGTGCTTCCTTTCTTCCTCCTTTCATTCCTCCTTTCCTTCTTCCCATCATCCTTTCTTCCCTCCTTTTTTCCTCTCTCTTCCCTTCCTCCCTTCCCTTCTTCCCTTCCTTCTTTCCTCCCTCTTTTCCCTTCCTTCCCTTTGCTTCCTTCTCGCCCTTTCTTCCCTTCTTACTTTCCTTCCTTCTTTCTTTCCTTCCTTCCTTTCTTCCTTCCTCCCTCCCTTCTTTCTTCACTCCTTCCCTCCCTCCTTTCCTTTTTCCTTCCTTTTTTCTTCCCTCCCTCCCTCCTTTCCTTTCTTCCTTTTTCCTTCCTCCTTCCCTTTTTTTCTTCCTTCCTTTCTTCCCTTCCTCCTTCCTTCCCTCTTTTCCCCTCTTTCCTTCCTTTCTCTTTTTCCTTCCCTCCTTTCCTACCCTCCCCCGCCCCAGCTTTTGCAGAATCTGTGTCTACATGAACTTCTGCAGACATTGTCAGTGTCTCTGGCCTCAGGGGGTGTCAGTGATGACAGAGGCTGCCTCCACCCCAGTGCCTCAGGGCATGTCCTCCACGTGATCGTGGGGCCGCCTGCATCAGGACCAGGCCAGGAGCTGGCTCTCATCTTGCATAGTAAGCCGTCGGCAGCTCGTTTCCTAGGCAACTGGGAGGCAGGCAGAGGGAGACACTGGCAGGGGCTCTCTCAGAGGCGGCCCTTCACCACCCGCCGCTGCCGCCGTCAGGGAGACAGAGACAAGGCAGCCCCCGTTTCCTCCCCCGATGGGGGGCTCATCGAAGACACCAAGACCCGAGAAGGAACCTGGTGTATGGGGAAGGGTAGGACAAGCGGCATTTTTTAAACTGGGGGCTAGGGGGACATCGAAGCGGATGCATCTTGAGGGTCTGCACAGGGACAGGGAAGATGGATGATGGAGAATAGAGTGGTGGCCTGGCATCCAGGAGATCTGAGTTCAGATCTTACCCCAGACACCGACTGGCTGTGTGGCTCTGGGCACGTCACTTTCCCTCAGTTTCCTCCCCTGGAAAGAGGGGTAACGATAGCACATCCTCAGGTTGTTGTGGGGCCTCTGCAGGCAGCTGGCGGTGGTTGGAGATCTCGGCCGGCAGGAGGAGGGGACACGCGGTTCCTCATCAGCCGTCATTTTTCTCTGTCTCCTGCAGGTTTATCTCTACGAGTACAACACGCTTTCGAAGCCCGTGGACAGGCCCCGGCAGTGCCTTCCCTATGCCACCATAACCGTCAGATTCCTCGGCCAGAAAGGAAGCGGGGAGACCATCACTTACCTGCGGTTTCTCTCCATGGAATTTCCCAGGTGGACTGGTAAGCGCAGGCATTCATCCATCACTTTTCCTCTCTCCATTGGCTTTGGGAGACCGTGTCGCAGAACCTTGTGACACCTTGTCTGAGGCCGGAGCCTGAGGCTGGCGTCTTGCCTGGGTCAGAATACAGAAAGCCATGGGATCTCCTGGGTGTGCTGATCTGACATTCGGGTCTGGGGTGGGGGATATTCCCACAATGCGCTCCGGGGCTCAGCCTGCGTCATTGGTGTTTTCTCCGTCGCGCTCGGAGGTCTTGCCAGTCAGCAGCAGCCCGTGCCCGATTCCAGGGTTGGAGTGGCCTCCAGCTTCACCTTAGCCCCTTAGCCAGTCGGGGTGCTCAAGTGTGCCTCTTGCCTTCCAGAACCTTCCTGACAGAGTCCAGGTGTGGGGGCCTGCGGCCTCGAGGGCGGCCCTTTAACTGAATCCAAGCCTCACACGACAAATCCCCTTCATAAAAGGATGTGTCCCGTACTACTTGGACTCTGGCAAAAGGCCACCCCCAGGGACCGGGGGCCTCAGGCTCCCACCCTGGGATAGGCCGTCCCATAAAGACATGACAGGGAGGAGGGAGCCGCCATTCACGGGGCATGGAGAGCGTGGTCTTGGTGCTTTATCCGTGTCTGCTCTTTGTGGAGGAGCTTTGGGTGGCCGTGGTTGCCACCTCCAGAACAGGTGGTTTTCCCCCAGGGTGGTCTTTATTCACCACGTGGCAGACAAAGGAGCAGCAGCCTCGAACACCTGGCCTGGCAGAGTTCAAACAGAGGGATTCCATTATGGGTGCCCCCACCTTCAAGCTTTTGCCTAAGCTGTGCCTCCTGTCTGGTGTACTCTCCCTCTTCACCTCTTCCTTTTGGAAGCTCCCTTTTGCGTCCTACACAAGGCCTCCTCTGATTCCCCAGCCAGAATACCCTTTCTCCCCCAGTAATTACTTGGTAATCTTGCCTTTTCCATTCCCTCAAGGGCTGGGCTGTTTCCTTTTGGTCACTGTATCTGCAGGGCACGGTGCAGATAAGAAGCACCTTAACAGGCTTTGACTCAGGAGCTTGTAGACCTTGGGCTGGGGTGCCTCTTCCTGAGTGCCACCCCCAGAGGCACAGAATTTGAGAGCAGGGGGAGGCCTCCTCAGGCCTCGCCCAGCCGCCCCCTCCAGGAATCCCCACTAGAGAGGAGCTGACAGATGGTGCGGGAGTCTCGCAGCCTCTGCTGGAGGAGGAGGGAGGGGTCCCCTTCCGGGCAGCCCGCTGTGCTCCTGTGGAGGCAGGCAGGGGAGCGTCAAAGTGAGTCCCTCAACAGTCCACACAAGACAGCCCCTCGGCCCCCAGGTGCTTCCCGTTCCTTCAGCCACACCTCCTCTGCTTTGGACTCAAGGGGCCTGCCCGTTCCTTTCTTCAGGAACCTCTCTAGTGTATCAGTGTTCTCCTTAAACTGGGGTGCCCAGGATGGGAGCAGGACTCTGCAGGGAGTCTCATGGAGTAGAGGACAGTGGAACAGCCTTTCTTGGCGGCCACGAGCCGACTCCTGCGGAGCCTGCAGTCCCCTAAGAGCCCCAGATCGTTTTCTGAACAGCTGACGTTTAATTATGCCTCCTTCCATTAAAGACTTGAAATTGATTTTTTTTTGTACCTAAACGTAAGACTTTACATCTGTCCCTGTTGAATTTCAGCTTCAAAGTTTCAGCCCGGTGTTCTAGCCTGTCGAGAACTTCCTGCATGCTGAGTCTGTCCTCTAGCAGATAGCTGTCCCTCCCTGCTGTGTGTCTCCTGCACGTAGGCGCAGGATGCATGGATAGTGGGACTTGCGCCCAGATCTTCTTGGTTTTGAGGGTCCCTCATTAACGGCTCTCTCGGGTGTCTCCGTTCTTACCAGTTCTCCTCAGGGGCACGTCATCCCACCCAACAGACCATCCTTCCTGAATTTTAATCCAAAGCCCCTCAATTCAAGTTTTTGATATTCATAACACTATATCAGACACACTTTTGTGTGGATGTGACCTTTTTTCCCTGGCCTTGCTATGCTAGAAAACCATCTAAAGTTTCTCCACAGCATTCTTCACCACCAAAGATTTCACATGGGACATTCAGCCAGCACTCATTCATTGAGCATTTACTTTATGCCAGACTTGTGTAAGTGTGGTGGATACAAAGACAACCGAAAACGTGGTTTCCTGTTTTCAGAGTTCCCATTCTAAAGGGAGACTGTAGGGGGAAAATTGTGCAGTGAATGTATTTGTGTGTATGTACATGTATGTGTATACACACCTGCAGAGAGAAAAGAGAAAGAGTTGATGGCAGATCCTCATAGGGAAGTCTCTAGCAGGTGAGGGGAAGGGGGAGAGCCCCTTTCAGCAGGAGGAGGTATTTGAAATGAGTCTTAAGGTGGCTAGGGGCAGCTAAGAGCTAGAGACAGGGAGCGAGCAAATTCTAGACATGGGGAAACAGCCAGCCAGTGGAAATGCCTTGAGCTGAGAGCTTTGTAGAGCAAGGGTTGAATGAGAAATTGTCAGATGAAAAGTGCTGTCATCGCCTCATCTCCGATAGCCAGTGCTTGGAGTCGATGACCTCCTGCATCCTTGCCAGCCTTCAGAGCTTCCTTTTCACCTGACTTTATGCCCGTCAATTAAAGGGAGACGATTTTCAATCACATGTTCTTTTTTTCTTTTTAATTCTCAGCAGAAGAACGGAACTCCCTGAATAACTGTACCATTGCCAAAAGAATCGGGAAAGGAAAGAACGCCACGGTCATCTACAAGCATTTCCCGAAGCCCATGGAGGCATCAGCCCAGGACAGCTGCTCCTGTGCTGCAGAGATGAATCCTTTGGCCCCCGAAAGATCTTCTCCCTGTGGCTTCTTTGCTGGAGGCCCGGTGGATGGCCAGGCCGAGCATAATTTAGCAGGCAGCCACAACCTATCTCAAGTACCAGCCCCTGAGGCTAACCCGCCCCTCCCACCCAGTGTGGATGCCACTCCAAGTGGGAATGGCGACCTGTTGGTGAACTTTAATTACCTCAAAAAAGTCCTCGCCATCGTTTCCGCTGCAGCTGCCCTTCCTAACAACGTTGGTACCAGTACCGTGACTACCTCCAAGCTCGTCAAGGACCCCCGGCTGCTGAGAAGAAGAGGATCCCGTGACCAGGGAAGCCCTGAGACGGGCTCCAGAAAGGCTGTGCCCTTGGAGAGCAGGGAAGAGTGCCCTGATTCACAAGTGAATCCTTCACCATCCCTGCCCTCCGGAGCCATGTCTGGTGAGCGCATGGTGCTCAGTCGGGGCTTCCCTGGTCCCAAGGGCTTGTTCTATCAGAACCATGGCTATGGAGCTATCCCCGAGGTAACCATGGCTGATGCAAAGAAGGTCGCCTCCAAGGAAGTCATTCCAGAACATGAGAACCGGGGGTGTAGTGATGCAGAAATGTGTAGCTCAAGCCGGGTGAACAGGATCCTTCTGCCAGTTCAGAAACAAGCCAAGGGAAAGTATGTCTCGGAGACAAATCATGTTCCTGGAAAGGGCGTGTCGATGGATACCAGCTCAGAGCAGCTTAGTGACTTCATACCCTGGAGATTACTGCCTGCCGACTTCGGAACTGTGCGTGAGAGACTTCAACCACCTCCTCTAGAACCTCTCCAGGCTCAGCAAGAAACCAGAAACAAATTCATTCAGGTTCCTCAAACTATGAAAAACCTGAACGCTGACCCCAAAAACCATTCCAAGCAAGGAAAAAATAAATACTCCAAAAAAAGAGGTAGTCATGACTCTGCTCATGGAGAAGGGAGGAGTAGTTTAAGAGAGTTTTGTCTTCCCCATGAAAAGCACAAGACTTTGATTTTATCCCACCAAGATGGCAATGACTGTAAAAAGCCTCGGAGCCAGGGGCCAGATGTTCTGGTGCAGCCCTCCCCATCGCCTCCAAAGCAGGAAGGGAAGTCAAGCCCCAAACATGTTCCTTGTCAGTCAGAAAACAGTTACCCTTCTGTAAGTGCACAGAAGTCTTCCAAAAATTGCCTTGAAGAATGGTTGAAATGTCAAAGGATGTACATTGACAAACGTTTTTCCAAATCTCCAGAAGTAGCAGAATTGAAAACGGGAAGTCTGCGTCTGATACCCATTGATATGAAGGCCGATGCTTCCCAGGACATGGACGTCACTGTTGAGACCAGAGAAGAGCCTCATGAGTTGATCAGTTTGCCACTTGATACTGAAGTGCCCCATTTCAAGGTGACCAGCGATGGGAACAGGAAACCCCCAGTAGTGGACGGGGAAAATGAAAACAAGCCAGTGTTCCCAGATGGCCCACATAGAGATGGCGGACTCAATGCCTGTCTTGTTGAAGAGGTAGACAGGAGTCAAGACTGCACTATATTCTGTGACCCAGTATTTGGGGATGATGATACCGCTTTTCCTGATCTGAATGTTTGTTTTCGAGAACAAGAAATTGAGAGTGCAAAAAGTGATGACCCACATCCTGAAAGAGAGGGAAGACAAAGTCCTTTTGTAGAAAAAAATAAAATGGAAAATATTTATGTAGATGAGAAACAGGTTGTTTATATGAACAAAAACTGCACCACTATTGTCAGTGATGAGAGAGAGATTAAGAATTTGGGCAGGTCAGCAGTAATGTATTCTGAAAAGTTTTCTTCCACATTTAACTTAGTCTGGAAAAAAAGCTGTGTGTCTATAGAAACTGCTTTGGTTGAAAATGCAAACAGAGTTACCCCCAGGAATCAAGGGGGGACCCTTCCCGGTGGTGAAAGGAAGCCAATGCCGCTGGCTTCCACAGCCGCCTTGGCTGAGGCCGCAGGGTCCCATGACTTGGGGACCAGCGTGCCCACCCCTGCTGCTCTGATGCCAGGGTTTGGTACTGAGTACCAAGACGACCAAGGGAAATCCCTAGGAAGAGCACAAGCTGTCCAGAGCCCCTGTTTTGGAGCATGGGCGAGAAATGTGTTTGGGGAACATGGAGGTGACGCGGACTCCATCCAACCTAGTGAAGCCTGGGAACAGCCAGCAGTTGGTGAGGACCCGAAGTTCGTGTTTCCACAGGACCTGGACTTTGATAACGAGATCAAAGTGGAATCTGAACAGTGTGAAGACTCTTTCCTGCAACGAGACACAGCCCTCCCTGGCCATCTGTCTGCTGACGACATGAACGCTGTGTATCAGCTCCTGGAATCTCGTATAGACTGGGGAGATCTGTTTGGAGGCAGCAGCCGCAAGCCCTCAGAGGGTTCCAAAAGCAGGGCGCCACGGGAGGAAGAAAGCCAGCGTTTCCTTCGGGAAAGCAGTTGTATTTATTCTTGTGCCCAGAAGAACCACAGGGAGCTCTCATGTCCAGTGGCGGTTCCTGACTTGCAGATTCAAATTATAAATATCGTTCAGTCAGGATTCGCCGTTTCTCAGGAGCTGCCAGCGATGCAAGAGGAGGTGCTGATGTGTGCCTCGCCGGAGATCACAGAGGTAGAAATGAGTGACGCCTGGCAAGAATCAGAGCCCCTGGCAGGTCCTTCCCAGTTGACCTGTGAAAACACCAACCCCCCCGGTCAAGATGAGCTTGGTCTGAAGGCGTGGTCAGAGGCATCAGAATTGATGGGGAATTTGGTCATTTCCCCACCTTCTGACTCATTGGCTCACAAGGCAGTCGAAACCTCCCTGGCATTGTCCCCTCAACCTGCTCTTGCTTCCCAGACCACAAAGGATAAAAGTACCAGCCTGTTGGCGAAGCCAAGGGATGCCCATAACAGAGCTCCGAGGGTAAAAGAGGCAGAAACTCAAAGTAGTAAAGGGAAGCTGCCAGCCTCCTTAAAGGACAAAATCATGCCCAGTAGAAACTTCAGGTATCCAGAACCTGGTGGAATAACCAGAAAGACGACCTGTCACCAGTCATCTGAACAGTTTTCTTCTTTATCTGAGGGACGGATCAGGACCTTTTCACAGTCAGAAAGGCACATCAGATACGTTCTGAACGCCCTTTACAGTGAAGTGTCCTTGTGCAAGAGCAAGCGTCTGTCCAGAAAACTTGACCAGGCTGTTCTTCATTTGAAGAAAGCTCACAGGAGAGTTCACCGATCCCTGCAACTCGTCACCAAAGTGGGGGAGAAAAGGAGAAGTGGCCCCTTGCCCAAGTCCTATGAGGTCATACGCAACAGTTTATGGGAATGTTGTGACCTGGAAGGTTATGATTTTCTGACAGAGAGGAGGTATTACTCGAGGCATTATTGGCAGAAGAGGAAAGATGAGAAACGGGAAGAGAAGAGAGCTTCCGGACTGGAAATGGTTCGGTCTCGGACGCCTGCCTCACAGCAGCAGGGTTGTAGCGGCAGCAGCAGGGACCAGGGAGTCCGGAGGCCACTCTCCATAGAAGGTCTGTCCAGCAAGGCCTCCGTCGGTCGTGGAAGCATCCCAAGGAGCACCCATCCTGACAGGCCACATCGTTCTGAGTCTTGGGGCTCAGCCTTGAGAGATCCAAGAGCTGGGGCTGACTGCGAGATCCCTGATGGACACTCGAAAGCTTTCCCTTCTCATCACTCTGACGGGGAAGGGAGGTTGGACTTCATCTTCTTGTCTAGCGTTCACACTGAAGAAAGAAGTGAGAGGCCCTTGGGTGCTGTCAGCTCCAGGGAGGCTCTGTCTAGAGTGGAAAGAAACGGGAAGTTTTTCAGCAGCCTTGGGGAGAAGCACCTTCCCCTCGATACCAATCAGCTGAATGTAGAAGGTGACGAGGAGACTCCCTCCAGAGAGAATTCTGACATTTTCATTTCTGTCTTGAAATCGAGCACAGAACACTTCTTCAGTGTTGACATCTCTAACACAGATCATCTGAGGTTGCCCAGAAATCCCCCCAACTTGGAAAGTCGCCTTCCTGCAGAAAAGTCACCTGCAGCGAGCTCAAGACCAAGCACGGCTTCGGAACACTCAGTTAGGGGCTCAGCTAGTGTGGCTGCCTGCACAGGCCAAGAGGGAGAGAGTGTGCTTCAGAATTTTTCCTGCATCTCTGTTACAAATAATGAGGCTGAATGGCAAACCCCCCACTCCAAGAAGCAGGCCAAGGGACTACCAGTTGTTGGCAGCCTGGCCACCCACACCCTGTCTCTACGGCAGGAGCAGCCACAGCTTCAAGATGCTGGAGAGGATGCTGTCGATGCGATGTGGGGGCCTTGCAAAAACTCCCCTCGAGGAGGGGATAGGAAGGAAGGAAGCAGTTCTGAAAGTGCCCCAGTGGGGCCTGCACCGCTTGAGAAAAATAAAAATGATGAGAAACATGCTGTCGGGCTTCTCCTGGTGAGCACGTCTTTGGAGAACACCCGGTGTTCTTCATCACAAAAATCCACAATAAAGGGAAAAGATAAAAAAAGATGGACGAAACCAGTAGAAAGGGAGCCACAGTCCGAAAAGCCAGGAGAAGAATCAAGTGTTTTACCAGGACCTTCTGAGAAATCTCCTGTTCAGACAGAAGGGCGAGACAAACAGGGCCAGGCCCTGGACAGCTCTTCTGTGGTGGCTGTCTCTTTTACCACAAAGACTCCCACTCAGTTGGCCGGGACCGAGGAGGAGGAGGGGGAGGAAGGCAGAATGGAAGTGGAAGATGAGGCATCTCTCTCCCCCAGTGCACCTCTAGCTGCGATAAACGGGGATCTTGGCGCCAGGAGGAAGAAAGTCCCCCAGACGTGGGCCAGCTCTGCTCAGCAGCCCCCTCCCGCCAGTGAAGGAGAGGAGGACGAATCCTCAGAGAACCCTACAAGTCTCATTGTGAAGCTGTCGAGAATTCTGCAAAAGGCAGACAAGGCCTCCACGCTCAGGGGTTTACAGGAGCAAATCAAAATGTGTCAGACTGTCCTTCCTTTGTTCGTTGAAGCTTTTGAGAGAAAACAGAAATGCTCCTTCCAGCATGTGCGGATTTCCCGGAGTCTGCTGGTGGAGGGTCACGGGTGGAATAACTGTAACCAGCGTCTCCGCCTGCAAGCTGTGGACTTTATGGCGGAGCTGCAGATGATGATGGAAAACTTGCAGTTGGTGGAGAACAAGAAGGGTCTGCTGGGCTTTGGGCCCACATTCCGCAGCTTGCTCCGGTACGATGCTTCGCTCTGTGGCGAGCTGCACCGGGGCTGTCAAGGCTACCGGCGGCAGGCCTGTCTCTACCTGGCTTTCCAGGACAGGCTCGGGTACGACGTGTTCAGTGAGCTGCGGCACTGCCACGGTCAGCTAATCAGGCTGTTGGAGGAAGCCAGGAAGGAAAACAGATCCTACTACGCCGTCCTGAAATACCAACGGCAGATCGAGGAGTGTGAAGATGTCATGAAACGTTGCTCCAGTTACTTTGACTTTACTCTTTCCGCGCCATTCACCTGTGGGGTTAATTTTGGAGGTAATTTAGATGATTTAGAAATGTTAAGAAGGAACACTTTGGAACTGATCAGTATCCAGGACCATTTCCCTAAAATCCAGTCTTGTCCTGGGAAACAAGACCATCTCTGGATCATCATGGAAATGATCTCCTCCAAGATGCATTTTATGAAAAACTCTGAATCAATCAGTGTGAAGATCTCCCTCTATGGCCTGGAACACATCTTCTTCGACGCTGCAAAAAGTCTCATTTGGAAAGACAGGGGCCTGTCAGTTGGCAAAAACGACTCCCCCCGAGAAGGTGACGGAAGAGCTGCTCGTATTTAACCAGTGCGCCTTTAAGAAGCTTCAGCAGATCTATGAGACCCTGGAGGCCGACGGGAAAGCAAAACGTGCTCGCAAGGGTTGGCTGGAGGAAACTGTTGGAAATGCTGTCGGTAAGCACTGTGACTGCTTAAAGGGAGAGGGGCTTGGCAGGGGGGGCTTCAGGTTTAGTGATCCTCTCTTCTCTCCCCCAGATATTCGCCGGGTTGGAGAAATAATAGACCAAGCAGAATCTGCCGACCTGAGACAGTTAGAGGAGCTTACTGTGAGATGCGGAGGCCACCTGGAGACCTTGAAGAAGTGCTTCCAGATTCTGCAGGAGGCCGCCACAGACAGCGTCTTGATCACAGAAGACAATGTGCTGGACATGGCCAGGAAGCCCCAGCCCTCCGGTGGTCGTCCTGAAGCCCGAAGCCGTCGAGATGTACATCGAAGTCATCATGCTTGCCGAAACCGTTCACTTCCTGAAAAATGTTATGGCCAAGAAGCTGGGCAGACCGAGGTTTCGGGGTATGCTGTGGTTCGATTTGTCTCTCCTTCCCGAGCTGATAGAAAACCAACAGAAAACAGCAGCTTCCTGTTCGCTGCTCAGAGAGAAAGGGACGGCCTGCCTGTGGAAGGCAGTGGAGGCTGCCGTACTGGAACTGAAGGCAGATGCCACTGTCGTCTGCGAGCACCCTGAGGGGGCCAACTCCTCCTACGCCCTGCAGCTGCTATCCAGAGAACTCGCAGAACTCTCCGAAATGAGGACGCTCCTGGAACAGGCCACCCCGCCCATCGCCACCTACGTGGACCTCGTGCCTCACACCATGTCGGTGAATTACGGCATGACCCTTTCTGAACTCGAACACAATTATAACCAGTTTGCTGGGCTGTTGGAGAGCCTGACTTCGGCTTCCCAGAAAGACCTGGGGAAAATGGCCCACATCATGAAAGTCATGAAGACCATCAGGCACCTGAAGGCATCCTGTGCCGGAGTGGGAAGCGGTGACATCTCCCTTCTCATCTGCCAGATGTTCTCCAACGCACAGAAGGCCCGCCAGCCGGGGACAGAGACCAGCGTCATTGCCGAGATGGAGCCCAGAGCGCTTACCGGGAAGCCATCTCCTTCCAGCTTACCCCGCAGAGATCGTGCCGGCTCCAGAAAGAGACCCTTCCCTCTAGCCCCTTGTGAGAGCTGCCGTGAGCGCCTCCGAAGTCCTGATCCACCGAGCGGCAAAAAACCCAAGGTGAGGACGTCTCAGCGTCTCCAGTGACGCCTCCTTGGAAGCTTCCCTTCCTCCCCTCCCCCAGCTCCTGCCTCTGCCCTTCCTCCGCTTCCCCCAGCACTTTTCCCAGGGCTCCCCTTCACACTCATGCGCCATCCCTGTCTCACAGTCACCTCCGTGCTCGTCACCCCCCTGTCGTTAGACTGTAAGCTTCCTGAGGGCAACACCCCTGTTGTTTACCCAGTTTTGAAGCGCACAGCCTGAGGTCACACATCGAACCAAGTGCTTCATTGGTGGATGAAGCGGGTTGAGAAGTGACCTGGGCTGCAGTTCTTTTTCACAATTTGAATACAGTTAGTGTTAGCTGCCACCTGCTCCTGCAGAACTCAAGGAAGGTCCCGGGGCGAGGGGGAAGAAGCTCTTCACTCTTGCTTGACAAAAGAGAGTTATCAGTGCAGTGTCCTGGGCCAGAAGGCATTCCTCTTCGTTTGTGCAGACGCAGGGAGGTGTTCTGGGACACCTAAAGAATGAGGTCAGAGGCGCTGGGTGATCTGCGTGACCTCGGTCAAGTCTCCTAGGCTTCCCTCCCTTTCCTCACATGGAAGATGAGGAGCCTCGCTGAGGTCCCTTGCCGTGTTAGGTCTGGGATCCTGCAATATCCCCCCACCAGGGACGTCCAGCCGCGTCCACAGTGGCATCGCGTCAGCTAAGGTTCCACGCGTGCCAGAGCCTGTTACGTGTGAGGCTAAGGAGAGAGGAATGATGCCTTACTGAATCTTTGAAAACCCTGTAATGGAGCCGTGTTTATGCCTCTCATCAGTTAGCTCTTTTCTAGCTTGCCAAGACCCAGCCTGTTGAGATGCACTTAGGTCTGGGGTCAGACTGTCCCCTAAAAGCCTGGTCTCACGGCTGTGCTGTTGAGTTTGCGATATCTTGTGCCAGGGACTCGGTCCATATGTATTTATTGAGGACCCACTGTGTGCTCCATAGTGAGCACAGGAGATGAAAAAACCAAAATGTCTCCACCCCTGCCCCGAAGAGCTTACAGTCTATCAGGGAGGAAACAGAGATGTAAGAGCCCATGCAGAATTTATCTGCAATAAACAGTTTTCAGGGGCTGGCTGGGAACAGAAAAGACCTCGTGTTGGAGGGACCCTTGAGACGAGGCTTAGAGGAAACCAGGAAGAGAATGCATGCCAAGCCTGGGCAGCAGACGCCCACCCGTGTGAAGGCAAAGATGGGGGGTTGGAGGGTCTGCTGTGAGGACTAACACAAGGCCAGCTTTCCTGCGCTGTGCCGTGGAGGAAGAAGAGGAGTGTCTGGCTTGGTCCAGATAAGTGTGAATAACGGACCCCCCGGATGCGCTTGCAACATTGCCTGTTTCCACGGGGCTCGACCCAGTTCCCATATTTTATATAATTATAACTTTGAATAGTATGGATTCAAATACATATGCCTACTTTGAGGAACATGTAACTCACACTCATGGAGACCTAACTGCATGAGGAGGCTGGGACATGATGGATGGGTACAGGTTGTGAAGGTGTGTTTGACTTGTGAGCCAATAGGGAGTGTCCAGAGTTTACTGACTGACTCGGGACTGACCTGGTCACCCCTGGGCTTGAGGAACAACCCTTTGATAGGTGCATGGAGAACAGAGAGGCAGGGGGACCAGTGAGGGGGCTGAGAAGAGGGGATGAGGTGGGCCTGAGCTAGGATTGTGGCCTTGGGATGGAAGGGAGAGGATGTGTTGGAGAGGGGCTGGGGACTTCCCCCCTGAGATTGAGGTCGGTGAGGTCAGAGGGAGAAGGTGAACGTGAAGGTGGCTGAGTTAGGGAGCCTGGAAAGATGGGGGTGCACGCAAAAGAAATAGAGCACGGGGCGGCGTAAAAACTCTCTTCGGTCCTACGGTTTTAATTCGCTTGAGGAGTTAACGTATAGCCCTTGTCATCTCCTTTCCTGAGGTTGGGGTATCTGAGTTCTTATTTCTTGATCCTTAATCTAGGTATTTTATGTTATTGTAAATGTGCGTCTGTTAAGGTGTCAGTTTAATTGGCGTGTAACTGAGCAAAATAGCTTCTTATTCTTCATTTCTCTTTTTCATCCATTGCCAATTCTTTTTCATTTTGCTGTTGGTCATCTGTTTTTCCACTTTGGTTCATCCTTGTGATTCTTTCCAAAAAAATTCTCTCGTTTTAATTATTTGTGAAATGAGGTTTCAGATTTTGTTCATCTCTTGTTTGACTTTCGGAATTTCTGTTTCAGTGTTTGTGGGTTTTTTAATTGGTTTTCATTATTTTTCCTTTTTTTTTTTTGCATGCTTTTCTTTCTTGTGTTGAGAAGCATGTTTAGAGATTAAAATTTTCCTCTGAGATCCGCTTTGGCCACGTCGCCACCATTGTGGGATGATATCTCATTATAGTTGGGATTTGTTCTTTGACCTCCAGTTCTTTTGGATTAATCCATTTTTATTGCATTGTGATCAGAAAAGTATATGTTTAACATTTCTGCATTTTTGTGAGTCTTTTATGCCCTGACATAGTGTTGATTTTTTGGGGGCGTGGGGGGTAGGGCTAGGCAGTAGGGTTACATGACTTGCCCAGAGTCACACAGCTAGTAAGTATTATGTGTCCGAGGCTGGATTTGAACTCGGGTCCTCCTTAATCCAGGGCTGGTGCTCTATCCACTGCGCCACCTAGCTGCCCCCATAGTGTTGATTTTTGTGACCCTGGGCAAGTCACTGAACCCTCTTTGCCTCAGTTTCCTTCTCTGTAAAATGAGCTGGAGAGGGAAAGGGCAAACCACTCCGGTATCTCTGCTAAGAATGCCCCAGATGGGGCCGCAAAGGGTTGGACGCTATGGACGTAGCCCTTTGAGGTTTACAGAGCCCTGTACGTGCATCACGTCCTCCGTCTAGATCTAGAAGGGTACGCTGCGGCCTGAAGCAGCGCAGCGTCGCTGCCGCTCTCTCTCCTTGTAACCGGCCTGGTTTTGCCTTTGAGTACTTGGACAGTATACAGTTGGGGAACGTGTTGAGTATCGATGCTGATTCAGCGTCTTTGAGCGTAACGTCGTTTGCCTGTTTGTCTCTTTATGTGGTTTCTGCTTCTGAGACTGTGACCGCGACCCCTGCTTTTTTTTTTTTAATTTCTACTGAGAAATAGCAGAGTCTCCACTCTCGCTTGTGTTAACTCTGTGTGAACTGCTGTTCTGCGTGTGTTTCTGGTCTGGGCACACTGCTAGATCCAGGGTCTGTCTTTTGCTTTTCTTCTGTGCTGCGAGTGCATGGCACACAGTACGTGCTTAATAAACGCCTTTTGTGATCCCCTTTCCTATCTGTTGTGCTTTCTTTTTCCATTACTCGAGTGAATTTGTCCCATTTATACTCACAGTGAAAACAATTGATTTTGCGTTTCTGTCCATCCTATTCCGTTAGGTTTTTCTTCTCTGCTTCTCGCCCTCCTCTTTACAAAGAAGAGGGTAATGAAATTGGAGTGTACTCACTACTAGTGATCTGCGCTGGATGCCATCTGTTTCTAAACCCTGCCCTCCTCTAAACCTCCCACCCATATGCCAGTCGTGCATTTTTATAAACATTTCCCCCCTTTAAATCCTGCTTCAAGATCCACCTGCCAGGTTAGAATTTGTTTTGCTTATGACATCTCTTTACACATTCTTATTCCCCCATCCTTTTTCCCAATCCTTCCGTTTCCCAGTTGAGTGAAAGCATTTCCTCACCAGACTCTGTGAATGTATGTGCTCATACGTGCCCACTGCGGAGGGGAGGGTTCCAGGAAGAAAAGGGTGATGTGAAAATATATCTGTATGGCTTCATCCGTGTGATGAATATTTACTTTTTTCTTTCTCAGTGGATGGGCAGGTGAAGGGAGGGAGAGAATTTGGAACTGATGATAAAATTTTTAAAAGAGAGAAAGAAAGAAGATGGTGTTTTGTGCATGTTTGCATGTCTAGTGGGCACTCAGTGATGTAGGCTGACTGGCTCTCGTGTGAGGGTGGGGCTGGAGATAGCCATGGGGTGCAGAGGCCTAGGGACTGAGATGAGATAAGGCTGAAAAGCTGGAGAATGTAGACTACCAGGGAGCGGGGGGAGTCACCTGGACATCTGGGGAGAAGCCCAGGCAGACCGACTCAGGGCTGAGGGTGGGGCAGGAAGACCTCAGAGAGGTGGCTGCTGTAAGGATCACTTGGATGCTGAGGAGGGTGGGAGCAGGAGCAGAAAGATTCGGGTCTTGGGGAACTCGCAAAGGGAACCCGGACAAGCAGGGCAGCTTTGGGACTGACATCTGCAGTTTTATGTACATCTTTTTTACAGTTCTCGGTCTGTGGAAACACTCAGTCTTCCAAAGTGTCAGAGCAACAAAAAATAAAGTTATTAACATGTTAAGAAAAGAGATAGCCCCCAGACAATGAACCTGTCAGGCTGGTGAGTAGTGGACCCACGGAGAGAGAGAGATGGGGTATCAGAGGAGTTCCCAGCTCAGACAGAAAGACAGCAAGCTTCAGACAGACAGACACACACACGGACACACACGCACACGGTGGGACACCTCCATGTCAAATGGTGGCTATGTTCCTGTGGGAAAATGCATGCCCGCTGCAGACCATTTGCCACAGTGGCCAGTCCTCTGGTGGGGCCTGTCAGGGCTTGCTGAATAAATCCATGGAGAGCATAAGCCCTGGACAGCTCAGCAAGGCCTGCGAGGGCTGGGGGCTTTCCTGGGGAGCGGTGTTCCAGCCGGAGGGGTGGCATGAGTGAGTTGAAGGGAGCAGGTGGGGGCCGGCGTGTGGCCAGGTTACTTTGGCCTTCGGCACAGGTGTTCAGGCGCTCGGTCTACTGTGAACAGATATTGTGTTTCAGGGCCCTCTAACGTGGATTCTTCCCCTGGGCTCTGTGACTTTCATTGTTGTTAACTGTGTTACGTTAGAATGAGTTTCTTTTGTAATCCTCTCTGTTTTATTTTATTTTATTTTTTTAGGCAGTTGGGGTTAAGTGACTTGCCCAGGGTCACACAGCTAGTAAGTGTCAAGTGTTTGGTCTTGAATTCAGGTCCTTCTGACTTCAGGGCCGGTGCTGTATCCACCGGGCCACCTAGCTGCCCCTAATTCTCTGTATTTTGTTTTGTGCATTTAAAACTGTGATTCGGAGAAGGGGTCCGTACCACAGGCTTTACCAGACTGAGTGGGAAAGACCTTCCAAGATAGGAATTGATGGCCTTGGTGACTCCACCCCCCCAGCAGACCTTGATTTAGCACCCACCGCGTGCCAGGCACTGGGCTAGGTGCCGGGGACAGGGCACTGCAGGGAGCAGCCCCTGCTCCCAAGAAATCCTCTTTATAAGGGCTGGGCCTTGAATCTTGGCAGAAGGGAAGCCAGGAGTTGGAGGTGAAGAGGAATGGGCACAGCCAGGGCAAAGGCATGGTGATAAGAGATGATGGGCCATATTCAGGAAGCTGCCATCAGGCCCAGGGGCATGGAGGGCGCAATGACGTTTCACAGGCCACCTTTTTTTGGTTTTGGTTTTGTTTTTTTAAATTTTTTATTTTTTCCATCTGCTTTTGAGTTGAAAATTTTTCTCCCCCTTCCTCCCCCCCACCCTCCCCAAGACGGCGCACAATCTGACATAGGCTTTACATTTATGTACCCATTAAACATATTTTCACATCAGTGAAGTTGTAAGTACAAATTAAAACCAATAGAAGGAACCATCAGAAAGATGAAACAAAACTCAACAGAAGGTAAAAATAAGTGATAGCGATTCGACTTCCACAGTTCTTTCTTTGGATGTGGACAGCATTTTCCATCCCCAAGGCCTCTGGAGATCCTTGTAATGCTGAGAAGGGCTCAGTTTAACAATCTTAGTCATTGCGTAACGTGGCTGCTATTGTGTACAAAGTCCTCTGGGTTCTGCTCACTTCACTCAGCATCAGACCATATAAGTCTTTCCAGGTTTTTCTGAAGTCACCCTCACAGGCCGCCTTCTTGACAGATCTGGTGGGTGAAGAGGAATTTGGCTCTGGCTGCGGCGGAGAGTGACCAAGCCTGTTGTGGAGGCAGGAGGTCAGCAGGCTCCAGCCAGGGGCCGGGGCGCTGTCAGAGGAGGGGGACCGAGCCTGTCGAGGAGGCGGGAGGTCAGCGGGCTCCAGCCTTATCGGCGGAGGGGGCACGTGCACGAGGCACGCTGGGGAGGGGAGAACGATGCCGGGGTGACGGGTCCAGGGAGGGCAGCGGGACACGGGGCATTGGCCGTTGTGGAAACAGCACTTGCCCAAAGTGGTCGAGATTGTAACCAGCCGCTTTTGGTGTGGTCTTTCCGCAGATGGGTGATCTCCTCACGACAGAGGGCAAGAAAACCAGGGAGCCAAAGGGGCCCCTCTGGGATGACAGGTACGAGCATACAAGCTAGCCTTTCTAAAGCAGACCCCAAGCTTTCTCAACGCTTAGCCTCAGAGGCTCTTCTAATCTCACCTCCTTCCCCTGCCCCTGCAAGAATCCCTCCTCCAGCATGGTCAGCCACTGGTCATTCAGCTTCTGCTTACATACGTCCAGGAACAGGGAGCTCGCTTTCTGTGCAAGTGGCCGGCTGTTGTGATTTTTAAATGGAACCCAAATCCCTAGCTTGGCCTCATTCTGCCCTGTGTGGTCCACGCCCCGTCCCATAGGATGGCCCTACAAATACTAGGAGCCAGAGGTTATCTCAGGCTAAAGCTCCCCAGTGTCTTCAGATGATTCTTAGCCCTTCCCTGGCCTCTGATTTCCATCTTTGCCTGAGGCGTCCCACCCAGAGCTGAGCCCAGTCCTGTGGGAGAAGCTTTGGATTTGATGTCGGGGGGCCTGGTTCCAATACCTGGGTCTCCTACATTCTCTTCTGGGCAACTCACATTGCCCTCTTTGCCGCAGTTTTCTCCTTTGTAAAATAAGGGGGTTTGAACGGATGACCTCTAGGCCCCTCCAACATTCCAGCTCTAAGCCCACCACAGTCATATGATGCCAAAAGGAGGGGTTTCCCAGGACAGAGAACTGGATTCTCGTGCCACAGACCGTTTCTATTAATGCAGAAACAAAGGTCCAAATGGACAGATTTACATTTCTTGGATACTGAGAGCAGGGAGAAGCAGGGTATCAAGGATGGGTGGGCGGGCGTGGCCTCCCCCAGGGTCCTGCAGTCCACTAGTCAGAGGGAGGGAACACCCCACTGCGCCCCGAGGTGGAGTATGGGGCCCTGAACCCCACCCTCGATTTCTCCCCGCCCTCTGTGGAGCCAGGCGCAACCTCCCTGGACCTGGGAGCCTGAGGCAGCAGCTGCCGTGGGGAAGAGCGCACCCCAGCCTAAGCCCCTACCTGGGCCGGCCCCCACTCGTGAGCTGGAGCCTTTGTCCAGCCCCCCCGGGCCGGACCTGGAGGGCACGTGGGCCTGACACAAGCGGGCCTGGGACGGGCAGTGCCCTCTGTGGCATTACATGGTGTTTCTTTGAACACCTCCCCCGGACCTCCTGGTGTTTGTGCAGGGAATCCCCATCCTCCCAGTCCGCCAGGCTCTCCACGTTTGTGTCTGTATATGTGGAGACGGTGACTGTACACGTGTGTGTATAGCCTGAGTACCTAGTGCACATGTGTGTGTATAGCATGTGCGATGTGTTGTATGAATGTGTAGTGTGTATATGGGGTCTGGGTCTATGTGTAGTGTGAGTGTCTAGTATATATGTGTGCATAGCATGTACGTGTGTGGTGTATAGATAGTGGGAGTGGACGGTGTATATCTGTGTATGTGCGCATAAATATATATGTGTGTATGTATACATACGTGTGTGTATATATATATATATTTTATATATGTATACACAGACACATAATATTGTGTGTGTGTGTGTGCATATGTGGTGCATTGTATGTGCCATGTGTATATATGGGGGGGGTGTATGTGTGTGTGTGTGTGTGTGTGTGTCAAGGGTGACACTCGGTGAATCCCTCCATCTCAAGGTCTCCCTTTACTCATCCCAGGGAGAAGACAGAAGATGAGGGGGTCCCTCTGGACCTCGTCCCCCCTCCCCATCAGAGCCAGAGCAGGAAGCAGTCCCCAGATGTGTCCGGGCAGGGGTCTCCGGGGGCCCAACTGCCCGCTCCCGCTGCAGGGCCCCACCGAGGACAGAGGCCCGGCTGGGCCGCAGGGGAGCCTGGCCGGAGTGAGAGGAAGAGGCCTGCGCAGGAGCCTGAGGAAGAGAAGCTCGTCTGAGGGGACCCTGCCCGGCGCTCTCGGCCTCCCTCCCCACACTGCGGCCCGCCTGAGGCCGGGAGCAGATGCCCTCCAGGCTGCGCCCCGTTTGGCTGGTGCCAGCTTCCGCAGTGAAGCCAACCTGTGCTCTGCGGCCGTGGCAGAGGACTCGGGCCTCGTCCGCGCAGACCACGAGATGCTCATGGACGGTTCTGGTGGCGTGATCCTGCCGGGCCATGAGGCTTTGGTCCTACAGCCCACCCTTCCTGGCCTCCCGATTCCGCCCCAGCCAGGTCCAGGGGCTGAGCCCCCAAACCAGGCAGCCCCGGGGTCCCACGGGGTGTGCTCCTTCTCCCAGCAGCTGCAGCAGCCTGAGAATGCACCGGGGGTCTTCGTGCCAGCTCCAGGGGTCTGTTGGAATGGCCAGGGGCCCCAGGCTTGGGGCCACGCTTACAGCCCCATCTACCCTCACTCCTCGTGGTGCATCGACCGCTACTGCAACAGCAATGGCAGCTCCGTCACCCAGACCGACCAGGGGGTAGCATCCTGCGAGGGCCAGCCCCTCCCTGCGGCCGTGGCCCCCTTCTGTCACGCGCCTGCCGGTCTGCTGGGCCGCTTGGGTCCCAGGGACCCCCCGAGGAGCGGCTTGGGACCGCCACCCGGGCAGGGGCTTGGCTTCTGCGCCTCCCACGGACCCCTCGCATGCCCTGCCACTCCCTGTACAGCCAGCCAGGCCCCCAGGCACGCCCCCTACCCGTGCCCTCTTCGCCCAGGCTTGTTTCCAGGAGTGACCTGCACAAGTGGTGAGTACTGCAAGGTCCTTTGGGGCTGAGGGTTGGGAAGGGTTCTAGCCCCCGGCCCTCCGGGCTCAGTCGTGATGAGCGGAGCCCAGAAGGGAGGTGCCCTCAGGGGAGAACATTCCCAGGAGCATCCTCCTGTCTGCCGAGTAGACCAGCAGAGGTCAGCCCCGGCCACATGCTTCTGTCCCAAGGCCATTGTCTGGGGGAGAAATCCTGTTCCCTTCTCGGGGAGACAGTGGGAGGAAGGCCTTCTTGGCCCTGGGCCTCAAATCCTGCATCTGTATGTCCCTGGGCATGTCACCTCCTCTGCCTGCCCTCATTTCCTCATCTGTAAAATGGGCCCACGACACCTTCCAGGGTAGGTGTGAGGACAAAGTAAGATGATGACATACATGGGAAGTGATGCACGGAGGCAAGCTCCCGTTATCCTGTCCGGCCACCCCTGGGGCAGCGCCAGGCTCAGCCTGGCCGCACACACCCCTGGCACGGCCCTGCTGCGTCTGTGCCTCCTGGTCAGGGCCCTGCCGGACACCAGTCAGCATCCAGCCTCCCTGGCTTTCCGACATCCTGGTACTCTCACAGCTCTCTGGCTTTTCGGTTTTCTACAGACTTGGTTCTGGTCTCCCTTAGGCCTTTTAAAAAACACCCGCCAGCCTCGTCTTCTTTTTACTTCCTGGTGATTCTCCCTTCCCCAGCGCCCCTCGCCCCCACCCCGACATCAAAGGAAATCACCAGCTTTTCTGGGTCAGACCAGCCCCAGCCCCAAGCTGTCTGTGTTAGCAGGACGCCTTTCCGCCGTGTTGTTGGCCTCTTAGAAGCGCTGCTGCCCCCACTCTCTGAGTCGGCCCATCCTTGCCGCGTCACAGTCGCGTGGCACCATTTGGTCAGCCCTTCCCGCTCGTGGGCACCCCCTCACTTTCCAGTTCTTTGGCACCACAGAAACACCAGCTGGACTTTTGAAAACCTGAGTGGGACCTCCTAGGAGCAAAAGCCTTGATGGGACGGGACGGGACAGGACCCATGCCAGCAACAAACCCCTGTCGGGGGTGCCTCCTCCATGAAGCATAGAGGGTGCAGGACGGACGGCAGTTGTGTGGCCTGCGACCTCAAGACAACGGACACCAGCGCAGAAAGCCATGAACTGGATGGGGAAACTTGGCAGGGAGCATCGGTATAAAGACAGAAGGAGAGAGAGAGAGAAACGTCGGGGTGGGAGCGTGCATCACCCTGCGTGGCCAGGTGGCAGGGACGGATGGGGAGATCCTTCCTCCCTCAGCCAGGTCCCCAGAGGGCGTCATTCTGAGGGGCAAGGCAGGCAGAGGTTTGGACCATCTGGACATCAGTTTGCAATCTTGCTTTTTCTGCATCACTTTCTGTCTCTCTCCCCCTCTTCCTCTTTCTCATTCCTTCTCTTTCTTTGTCCTGTATCTCTCTCTCCCTTCTCTCTGTCTCTGTTGTTGTTTTTCTCCCTTCCCCTCTCCTTTTTTCTCTCTATCTCTGTCTTTTTCCTCTCTCCTTGGTTTTTTACTTCCCTCGCTGATAATTTAATCTAAAGAAGGTAGAGAATGTCCCTTATGCTGGGCCTGATTCTAGCCATTAAGAACTAGTGGATAAAGTGGAACCATGGGAACCTTGGAAACCGATGACCACACCCAGCAGAAGGACCATGATGGCTAATACCAGGATGCGTCAGGCAGGAGGACACGTTCCCTCAGTTTTAGGACGATAGATACCAATGCTGTCAAGCTGAAGAAAGGGAACATCGTGTGGTCGAAGGCTCCGATGAGTTGGGAAACAGAAATTCTGGTCGTGCCATTAGGTTTGAGCCCAATGAAGAAGAAAAGGAAGAGACGGCGTGTGGCCCTGAAAGCATCACTCGTCTCTCGGGTTCGTGTGGATAACAGCGCACGGTTCTCTCTGGTGATTTGAGATTTGCAAGGGATTTGCCCTCCATGGCTCCGTCACGGTGGCATCATCACATGTCGTCATTGTTGTTGTTGTTATCATTACCACCCTGGTATTTTCAGAGGAACTCCCTGAGGCTCAGAGAGGGTGTTAGTAGCCCATGGTCACACAGCAAGTGCATGTAAAAGGGGGGACTTAAAACAGGTTTCCCGACTCTCAGAGTCAATACTCTTGACCAAGGGATTTGAGCTACCGTCTGGCCTTTGTCGTCACTGTCAGCGATTCTGAAACTACCGGAAAGTCGAGGACATTAAAACCCCAAACGTGTAAAGAGGTCGTAAGCAGGTTCCTGGCTGCTTTTGATTATTTTAAGGCTAGACTACGCCAGGCCTTGGAAGAACTACAAAATTCACTACTGAGCTGTCCTCCACGGTCGTAGAGGAGTCATGGCGGATGGAACAGTTTTCACAAGTCCTGAGCCAGCGATGTCATCTCAGCCATCAAGACAAGGATGAAAGTGCATTCTCTGCTTGGTTGGGTTTTGTGTCAATTCCTGGCATCCTTCTATAATAGATCTTTTTTTTTTTTTTTTACAATTTTGCAGTGTAAGGAAGAGGCCACACTTGGGCATCGCATTTCTTTGTTTAACAGTCTTACTGTACTAATGTACTGTTGGCAGACTGCCTCAGGTGGTCTTACTTAATTCCTAGAACCCCATCTAGGAGTTTTATAGTCTCTTTGTAAACCAGATGGGGAGTGTGGACTAGGTGACTGCATAGTTAGGAGAACCAAGAACCAAGTGAATAAGCACAGGTAGGGAGCATGTCTAGCAAAGTGCCCCAGGCATATGCTGCTGGCTCTGTGGCGCTTACCCATTTCATTAGTGGACTTGGAGACGAAGGCCTGTTAATCAGCTCCATACGTTGAACGATACAATCAAAATCCAAAAAGGTCTTCGTGATCCAGGGCGATGAGCTGATGCTGACCGGATGAAATTCAGTAACGTCCCGCCCGTGGGTGCCAGAACTCGTGTGCGTGCGTGTGTGAGGAAGGTGTGGATGGGCACAGATGGATCGGCGGCTGAGCGTGAGTCGCAGGGTCACTCAGCGGCCATCGCACGAGGGAGACCCTGGCCGTCCTCTGCCCTCCTCTCATCACACCTGCATGCGCCAAAGCGTTCCTTTCTAGATGATTAACGAGCGGGAGAATTTTTCAAAGGAAGAATGAGGAAGGAGGCCCCAGGGGGTCTCCAGGGGCCTCCCAATGATGGGATTCTGTGATTGTCCTGCAGATTAGGGGCACCTTGAATCATTTGGGTTGAGCTGGGGCAGGTGAGAGCATCCTGGGAGACTCCCTCACACCTGGGATGACTTTGCAATGCCAGGGCGTGTGCCCCAGGGCCCGGGCTAGGTTGCTGCCTTTGTCAGACCAACCTGGAGAAGCCATGGTTCTTTCTGGGCCGGGGCAGGGCTGATGCAGCAGTGCTCAGCAAAGGGCCTGGCCCGTAGTAGGTGCTTTATAACCGCTGGCTAGCTACGCTGCCATGTCCCGACGCTGCCTGAGCTGGCCATGACAGCCGGACCTGGAGGCAGAAAGGCTGTGCCTTAGCTGCTGGCTGACCTGAGGCCCCCCTGATCCTCAGTTTACTCATCTGTACGATGACAGGGCTGGGATGAGATGACCCGCGGGGTCCTCATAGCAACGCCGATGCTGAGCCGTGCTCCCCGGGAGGGAAATACAGTTAGACTCAACCCCCCCTCTTTATTCCGGCAGAACTTGACTAACTGGAGACCTTAACTGACAGTAACAGAATCTCAGGGCCCACTGCCCACTGGCCGGCCACCTCCATGACCTGAATTGGAGGCGTGGGCGGGTGGAATCTCATCACTTCCACGCCAGCCCCCAGTGGGGGGCGTGGCAGACACTGCGCAGTCGGGGTCAGGGTTCAGAGCGCCTGCTCCGGCCAGCACAGTGGTTCTCAGAGCGTGCTCTGGGCCCCCGGCCCTCTCGGGCTGTAGGAAGCCAACGCTGCTGTCGTGATGGTTCTAAGGTGCGTCCATTTCTGGTGTTGTTAACTGTCAATGGCTATGACCTACGAAAGCTCTTTGGGAGGGCTTCTGTTTTTGTGAGTGTAAAGGGGTCCCGAGACACGAAAGTTTGAACGCTGCTGGGCTAGAGCAGTCAATCGATTAACATTCATTTAGCACCTAGTGTGTGCCGGGCACCGTGCTGAGCGCTGGGCATTGGCCTGAGTCATTCAGTGGTAATAAAGGTGCAGAGAGGTCACCTGTACAAGACGGGAGGCCTGATTAAGCAGCGGTGTGCTGAAGAGAAAGCAGGGTCTGGGGGCCGGACGAGTTGTCAGGGTGAGGTGGCAGCCGCCCCAGCTTGCAGCACCGGGGAGAGGATGGCCCCACTGCCCTGGGCACCGAGCACTGGTCAGATCCCCTGGGCAGGGCAGGGTTCAGCTTGGGGCAGCTCTCTTTGGGAAGGGCCTTGGTCCATGAGAGAGAGAGAAAACCCCAAGGTGATGAAGGGACGTGGCCCTCTGTGGAAGGAACTGTGGTTGTTTGCCCCGGAGAAGGGAAGACCCGGGGAGGACGTGAAACCTGTCCTCACGGGGCCATGACATGGACCAGAGAATGAACTCATGCTGTGTGGACCCGGAGTGGGGATCGAGGAGCTGAAGGGCACACCGAAGCCAGCAGAGTCACTGACAGTTAAACTGGCCATTAACGAAATGGGTGGTGCCAGGAGGTTGCCAAGGGTCCCATGGTAGGGCAAGATTCTTTTCCAGGTGTGGGTGAACTAGATAGCCGGAGGTTCCTTTCCACTCTGAATTGTATAGTTGTGTGAATGGCGCATGGATAGGACAGTCTGATTTAATAAAGGTGTCAGTATTCCCTGGATCCAGGCTCAATGCAGCGTTGATCAAAACATCAAGGGACCCATTTTTACAGATGAGGCAGCAGCAGAGGATGCTATAAGCGGCAGAGGCAGGATTTGGATCTCGGTCTGCCTAATGCCAGGTCCAGAATTCCTTCCAGGTTGTGCTGCCTCTCAGTGGACGCGGGTGAACAGAGATAAGAGGGGAATTTAGAAGGAAGGAGGTGCACTCTCTCTTGCTGCGGCATGTCCAGCCTGCCCAGATCCTGTTCCCTCACCACACCCCCTGGTTATGCCCCTTCCTCTCCACTCACAGAGGTCACTGAGAGTTGTGCTCTCGATAGTAGTGACAGTGATTATTGACCATGTCTACAGGGGAAAAATCATGGAAAAGGATCATGTCCGTGGCCCCTTGGGGAGGGGGGTCACCTTCTCCCTGGGTCATACATACAGTGAGAGGGCAGTGACCAGCCCGGTCTGTGGAGAAGGGAGGAGAGAACGAGGGTCAGGAGATGCCTTTTGCTCTGGCTCACTCACATCTCACGTTTTGTTTTCTTGTTTCTCTTTCTTTTTTCCCCCCCTTAGCTCCCTGGCAACAAGGATCTTTTCAGAATGGACATTGAAAATACTCTGTAGCCTGTCTACAGGAGCCGAGGAGACTTCCTGCAGGGTTTGGGGGGTGGGGGTGGGGTGGTTGCCAATTTGTTTTGTTTTGTTTGTCTTTGATTGAACGACTTGATGTGTTTTTGAACTTAAGTCAGTTTGGTTTTAAATTCAGAAGCCGTAGAGCACTTTAAGTCCAAGAATTTCACCCATTAAGCAGTAGGAGAATCCATCTTCTTTAATGTTTTCCAAAGCCTAGTTCATTTCCATGTACCTTTTCTGTTGAGCTCAATCAGGCCTCCCATTTGTGAGCCCCTCTAGCTAAGAGACAGGAGCAAGCCTTCACCTTCGTGAACGGTTTTTAGTCACATAAAAACCTCCTTCCATTCTGTCGAGCAAGGGAGGAGCAAGTGCCATCTGTCAGTATGACTCGGAGCCTCCTCCGTGATTTTGCTTTATCCCAAAGGAGGGTCTGTTTTCTGTTTTCGGAGCAAATGCCAAAAAGGGTCCAGTGGGCGTGTCCTGAATCTTCGCAGTTCTTTTCTATCAAAGTCGTCCAAACTCTTTAAGTTTCTCAGATGACTGGATCACCAAATGGATATTTTTTGTGTTCACCATACTCGGCCTTGACTTTTCTTTGACGATAAGACCTTCTTGGACCCTTGTGCTTGTGACACGTTTAAATGTTATTCTAGAGACCCTGATTTGTGTGTTTTCAGGATTTCCTGGAACAGAGATTTATTTTTGTAACTTTGTAGGTTTGAAGCATTTCTAACTGCTCTCCTTATGCTAAAGACGAGCCCTGTCTTTTCCAGGGCAGACTGCCTCAATACGCTGTTTCTCAATCATTGACTGTGGGCCTTTTGACATCATTTATAACAAACATTAGAGGAAAAAAAGGAGAGAAAGGAGTTACAGTGAGGGCCAGGGAAGGCATTTCTACAACATTACCCCTCACGGGGACCGTGTTTATCCACTGGATGCCATGTTATGCTTCAGAGACATCTTTTTATGGTTTTTAAAGATCACAAAACACAAAAGCCCGCCCTGTCCTTGTAATATAGTCTGTGTGGCCATGGAGGTGCGGTGGCCCCTGGGCCCCCAGGAGCCTCCCGCATCTCCTGGCCCAATCCATCCCCATTTCCTCATAATGGAATAAATAGGGTCATCCCCTACTTCCAGCATTCAGTAAGTATAGCATGAACCTGTCCTTTTTTTTTCCCCTTTGCCTCAACCTGACCCTGTGCTTTCATATAGCAGGATAGCTAAAGCCTGTCCTTTCCCTCCCTCACCTTGTCTGAACCTGACCCCGTAACTTTCATATAACAGGAACCTGACCTCTTTTTTTTTTTTTTGCCTGACACACACCCTGTGCTTTCGTAGAAGGATAGTAGGTACCTGGCCTTTTTTTTTTTTCCTCCTTTGCCTGAACCTGACCCTGTGCTTTCATAACAGGATGGTAAGAGCCTGGCCTTTTTTTTTTCCCCCTTTGCCTGTGCTTTCATAACAGGATGATAGTAGGAGTCTGTCCTTTTTTTTTCCCCCCCCTTTGCTTGAACTTGACCCCGTGCTTCTAGAGCTCCCAAATGCCTCCTTACATCATATTTTGATATCTTTTATGCCACAGGAGAAAAGTAGTCCTGAGAGCTGGTGAGGAAGAGGATTCTGTTTAGAAGCCCTGGTCCCTCCTCCCCAGCTTCCTTTCCCAGCAGATTCACATCTAAAGGGAAACCATGCATTCTGGCAAACACCATGGATGGGAATAAGTACAAAACAGTAAGGAAACATTAAAGCAGAGTCAGGCTCCTTGGTCAGGATAATTAATCATTAAATAGCCACTTAGCAAAACCCAGACTATGAGCCTGTCAGGGAAACAAGGACAAAATGATTTTATAAGCTGACCTCTTAAGAGGCAATAGAAAATCCTTTTTCTCTAATGTTTTACAAAACCGACTTCATTTCCCGATGGCTCTTTTATTGAGATTTACCAGACCTGTGATTTGTAACACTTCTCCAGCCCAGAGAAAGGAGCCGGAGCAACCCTTTCCACCTCTGTTTGTGGTGATCTTAACCATCTTAGACACATAAAAATGTCTCGGCTTCCATTTGATTGTGTGATAAAGACATGGAGGTCACAGGTCAATGTGATTGAGAATCCAAAGTCTCCCAATTTTGGTTATTTTTTTCCCCTTCAGAGTAAAAAGAGGGTTTTGCTTCTTTATGTTTTTAGAACAACTCCCAAGAAAACACTTGGAAGGGGCTGGTCCAGAGTCAGGTGGTTTGCTTGGGGCTGGCTGGATGCTGGCGCTGTTCCAGTCTTCCCTTCAAGCTTCCCATCCATCAGAGGCTCTGCCAAGAGTCCTATGTTTTCATATTCTCATCTCATTTGTCTTGTCTTTGTCATTGCCCTCATTCAGATGCACAGTGTGCCAGTGAGAGCTCCTCTGTCCCTTAGAAAAGGGCCCAAGTTAAGGGCGGGCTGTCTGTCTCTTCCCCACCCACTTCATGTTTCTCCTTCTACAGAGTGAAAAGAAAACGAAATTCAGTTTTGCTGGAAAGTGTACGCAGCAGAAATGCCCACTGGGAAACACTTCCTTTAGAATCCAGGGAGAAAAAAAAAACCAATAAACTGGAGCAAACTTGTGATGTGTGTGTGTGTGTGGTTCTGTGTCTGCTTTCTGGAGTCCTTGGAAGGCTTTGGGGGGCCCCCCTGCCTGCCTGCCTTCCTCCTCCTCCTCCTTCAGCACCCTTGTACTGCCCTCCCCAGCCTCAGACACACTGCCCCTTCTTCACCTGGACACTTGTCCCCTCCATGCTCCTTTCCCTGGGAGGACCTGAGTACCCGAGCCAAGCCTGGGGGCAGGCACTTAGATTTACAGGCTACGAGGGTCTTCAGTTTTGAGCCGATTCCTTCCTTCTACAAGGAAGGAAATAGGCCCAGCAAGGCTCCTTGCCTGTCCCAGTGTTTCACGGGGGCAGGTGGCGGGTGCTCAGACTCAGTCACTCATTGATTGTCCTGTTTGCAATAGGAGCATTTACAACTCAGAAGTTGATAGATTAAGACTTCCTCTACTGTCCTTTTGATTGTCTAGACTTAAGAAAGCCATGGAGGACAGGCTATGTGGATGAAACTGTTGTGTACACATTGTCTTTTCTGGACAGTTGGTTAAATATTCACCAGCACACCCTTCCTTTCATAGCCAGTGAGGGTCTGAGGTGATATTTGAACCCAGGCCTTCCTGAGTCCAGGTCCAGCCCCAGCATCACACCCCTGCCCGCTCCTGTCCTCTCTGCCCCTCAGCTACAGAAGCAGCTTCAGTCCTTATCACAGCTTCTGTGTCTCTTGCTTGGGCTCTTGAGCAGATTCTCTTCCCCTGTCCTTTATCTTCCTGTTTTCACCCACGAAGATCCCTCTCCCCGCTAAAGCTTTATCCCGTCAATGGGAATGACTCCCCAATCTCCATCTCCAGACTCCCCTGACTACCCACACTACAAAAGCACATCCTGCTCAACCTGTCCAAAGCTAACTCATCCTCCCCCCAAAGTCCACCCCTTCTCAATATGGTCCCTCTACTTCTTCCTTAATTTGGGGGTTCAGCCTCTGCACACCACCCCTGTCCCCATCCAAGTCCCTTTGGTCTCTGCCCTCAGGGGCCTTCATTTTAATGAGGAAAGACAGCACACAGAAGGGTTGAGGTTTAGGGGCTTAGGGGTGCTGGGATACCAAAATAGTGACACAGCTCCTGCCCAAATGAATTCGACCCAAGCCAAAGACAAGGTTTATTAAAGATTTGCCATATTGGCCAGACTCTCAAGGAATCAACATTTGTGATGCTGGTATTGACAAGTGGGCTAGAGTGACTCTCAGCCATTGGCTAGATTTTAAGAATCTGAGCCATGGGTTACATTAAATCTCAGCCTTAATGGAGACAAGATGGACCTTATATAGAGAAAGACTGTGGGAGGGATCTAGGAGTGGCCAAGTAGTTTGGAGTGACTGGGGGACGAGTCTGGGGAGAAGGGGTCTAGGGAGGATCTCGATGGGAGTGATTGGGAGATAGAATGGGGTCTAGATAGAATCAAGGGTGGGAAGTGACTGGGGGTGATAGGGAGGTAACAGACAATGAAGGTTGGGCTGGGTGAGAGGTAACAGAATTGGGAGATTGGGTGTAGCCACAATGAAAGGCCAGCTGAGAGGATTACTGGGATGATGCCTCACGTGAACACCAAAGACTTGGCCATGTGGGCAGAGGAGAAAACTCAAGGAGAGTTGGGGGAGGGGGAGTCCCAGGGCCCATACCCTGTCATTCCTCCTCAAACAAATGGGACCCACATTCTTTTAGGGGAAGGGGCGAAGGTCTTGGCTTCTTAAACTGTTTGCTGCTGGCAAGAGGAGTGTGGAGCTGTCTCTGCCTCTCTGGGTCCCGGTCAAGGGGTCAGACCAGAATCACCAGAGCAGTCATCTAAGCGCACAAGGACCTAACAGCCAGAAAGGGAATCTAGAGAAAAGACAGTTTCCCTGGAGGGAATTGAAGATCGCTATGGCCAGGTGAACACAGAATGAAAAGAGCGTGTAGGATTTCAGCTGTTTATCCCCCTGCCCTGTGGAGCGGCGGGGCCTTTCCAGACAGATGCTTGAGGTCCCCCCGAGGACTCACAGGAATACTCCACAGTCTCTGGGGACACGTTGGGCAAGACTTGTCGTCGGGCGGTTTCTCCTAGCTTACTGCCAGTCAGGTGGCTGAAGCAGCTACTGCCCATACCCTGTCAGAAGCAGGGAAGTAGGAGAGACCCGAGGGGAGAGAGGGCCGGCCTTGTTCTGGACAAGAGGAGGTGAGTGGGGCCCTGGTAGAGGCCAAAGTTCCAATGGGGAAGGGTCAAGGAGGCTGGCAGCGGGGTTTGGATGCGGCTGGTCGTGACATGGAGACCATCCATGAGGCAGCCTAGTACAGCAGAGAGGACTGATTCTGAAGCCTCTGACACGCACTGTGTGGTGGGGCGAGCCACTTTAACCTCTCTCTGCCTCAGTTTCCTCAATTGTAAAACGATACCAACAGCACTTGCCTCCCAGAGTCATTATTAGGATGAAATGAGATCGCATGTGTAAAGCGCTTAGCACAGTGCCTGGTGCACAGCAGGTGTTTTAAGAAATGTTTGTTTAGTTTTGTGCAATCTCTACATACAATCCATACAGCTGATATCATATTGCTTGCCTTCTCAAGGGCTGGAGAAGGGGTGGCAGGGAAGGAGAGAATTTGGAACTCAAAATTTTTAAAAATGAATTAAAAGTTTTACATGTACTTGGGAAATTTTAGCAAAATTAAAATATTTGAAGTTAGCCCGTTCCTCCCACCACCACCACTACAAAACCCACTTCTTTCCTTCCTTCGTCTCCTGGCCCAAAGTGTTCAGTGCCCAGTTATCAGAAATGCAAATTCTCTAGCGTGCCGTTCAAGGCTCATCAACCTGCCTTCCCACTATATCCCTGACGGAGGGCGTCTGCTGGTAGCTGTCCCCCACGCTTGTCATCCTGGGTGACCTGTCTCTGGGTACTCAGGCAGCTCAGCCCTCTCTCCTGAAAGTCAATAGAACAGACCTTTAGTAATGTCTCCTACATACCAGGCATTGGGAGGCAAAGATAAAAATGACACAGACCTGGCCTGTCCTCCAGGAACTTACCTCCTACTGGAGGGATCAATTCCCTTCTATTTACTTGGGTTTATAGGCAATCTTCAGTTTGGAAGAGCAGTGGTAGCTAGAGACACCAGCAAGTGTCACCTGAGCTGTGCTTTGGAGGAGGCGAAGGATTCTCAGTGGAGTAGGAAGGAGAGTATTTCAGGCAAGGGGACAGGGATGGGAAATGAAGTGTCTGCTTTAGGGAAGAGCCAGATTGTTGGGGGGACCGTTCGCCAGGCTGAGGCCTTTGGGTTTTGTCCCGGGGGCAATAAACCATCGATGACTGGGGGGGAAGGGGGGTAGGGTGGCCAATGACACAGGCAGATCTAAGGTTCTGATATCTATGTGAAGGCTGGATTGGAAAGGGAGAGATTGGAAGCACGAGCTCAATGAAAAGGTTGATGTCCAAGCATCAGCAGATGAGAGCCTGAACTGGGTTACTGTGTGGGTAGAGAAGGAATGGACGGGGGAAAGATGGCGGAGGTGGGACCGACTGATGACACTGATTGAAGGTGGGTGGTGAGGGGCAGGGCTGAGTCAAGGATGACAGGGAGCTGTTGAACCTGGGTGACTGAGGGACAGTGAATCAGGGATCACTTATTGCAGCAATTTGAATGAAGACGGTCTGTGTAAATGCTAGCATATTCAAAATGAAAAGGAGATTTAATCAGTTTCTCCTACCCATTTCAACTCCTACATTTCTACTTCTACTCATTCTCCAAATGAGTGATTATGCAGTAAATCTCCACACACACACACACACACACACACACACACACACAGCCCTGCTTCCCTCTCCTCCTGTCTGTCTCTCTGTCCCTCTCCTGAGTTAATAATCATTTTTGTGTTAAAACTGTATCTCGCTCTGGTCCCCCTGACCACTCCACTCCTCTTCCAGTCAGTATAGTAAGTTTTGTAGGTAGCCAGCATGAAGAGATAACAGCAGGAAATCACATTGCAAAGGGGAACCTGGAAATCACCTACAAACCATCCCAAAGGTCAACAGAGGATAGTTTACAAATCATATTCTGTATTAATCAAAATTCACATCCTGATATGTGCGGAACCAGGGGAAGCCATCTCAGCATCGTTTGTCAAGGTTTCTGTCCTATAATGTGTGAATCCCAGACAAAATCTACATCTTCACAGCTCCAGACCTGCCGAATATCAAGAGGTGCTGAAAATTCAAATGGTGACTTTGCAGTTTTACAATTTTGAGATGCTTTGGAAATGTTAATGAACTAACTCCAAGGAGGCACAGATGGGAGTTGGTCTGTCTCTCCTAAAAACCCTATACAAGTGAGACTTCGAATTCCTGCCCTGCCCCCATCCACACTAGCATCCACAACGTTCCCTCTCCCTCTAGTCTGTGATTCCTCTGTCCCCCTCCGCGTCATCTTCCCAATGCTGCCTGCCTTCCTTCACCTCATCCCCAGTTTCCACACCATCTAACTCTATCCCTCTTTTCCCACTTGTCTCTGCCTTTATGAGCTTTTTGCCCTACAGCCTCTGTGTTTCATTAAACTGTGCTTGCTTCCCCATCTCCCACTGCCAATCAAGATCTTTCCGGATAGTACCCAAAGAACTAGGGGTGCCTGCCCCTGTTTCCTAAATTAATGATCAAATAAGTCTTCTTGCCGATGACTCCCGGATCTCTGTGTCCAGCCCCAGGCTCTCCCCTGAGCTCTAGCCCTGCACCGCCAAGGACATGTCTGACTGGATACCCCAGAATCATCACAGACTCAACACGTCCACGCCAGAAGTCAGGTATTTTCCTCCAAAATCTGCCCCTTTTGGGAACTTTCCCGGCTCTCTCAAGGCTCATGAGCTTGGAATCATCCCTGAGCCCTCCCTCTCCTTCCCCCCACAACTGAGTCATCTCGCTGTCTCTGGATTTCCTCCATATTTGGGATTTACTTCTTCCTCGTCTTTGCCTCAGAGACTTCTCTCTTCCT